CGTCAGGAAGCTGACAGGCGCGCCCGCGAGGCCAAGCGAGCGCGCTTGGCTGAACTGGAGCGCGCTAAGGCGGCAAGCCGCCTGTCCGGGGTAGACAAAGACCCCGTCCCGAAACAGCACTCCATCGCCACGAAAGCCGGTGGAGGCCTCCGCTGGTGCCTCGAACCCCGGTAGAGGCCCACCGATGGGCCCTCCCCCGCCTCCACCCCGGGCTGCGTACGCTGGCGTAAAGCGTGCCCAGCCGGCCCCCTCTCCATCTGACGGAGGTAGCCCAAGGATTCGTCCTAGGGTGGGGCACGGCCCCCCGGAGTTAAGCCGAATCTCTCGGCCTGAGGCGTCTGGACATACAGCTGGCGCAGCCGAGTTTCTTTAAGCCGAGAATTGTTTTAGCTTTTCACGTCTTACCGCTTTTTTAATGCGCTCTTTTACAGGCGTTTTTACAGTGGAACTGTAGAGGAGTAAGGGCGAACGCCCTCGATCTCTAGGCTGTCGTCAGCAGGGTCTCTTCTGCAGCCGTGGCGCTGCAGGAGACCAAGCTAGCGTCTGAGCATTTCGGCTTTTTGAAAGGATATGCGATGTTTCGCAACGAGGTGTTGACGGAGAGCATTGCTCACGGTGGCGTCCTCCTGGTAGTTTTCCATGGCGTGCCAGCGAGGAGGTTAGGCTTGCGGTCCACACTTCAGGCTGTGGCCGTGCGGCTTTATTTCAACCATCGTCACATCATTGTTTGCTCACTTTACCTTCCACTAGGCATCGCTTTTCCGTTGGCGCACCTTAGATGTCTGCTGGCTGAACTGCCTTCACCACTTCTTCTTCTAGGCGATTTTAATGCGCATCACACCGCATGGGGGTGTGACGTCAGCAGTGCTCGTAGGAGGCTGTGTGAGAATCTTATCCACGGTGCTTCGCTACGTATTTTAAACACAGGAACTCGTACGCATTTTACAATGCCGTCCGGTCAGACGACAGCGCTAGACTTAAGCCTCTCCAGTCCCCAGCTCGTCCAACACCTCGAGTGGAGTGTCGGAGATGACCCAATGGGAAGTGACCACTCCCCAGTGTGGGTCCGGTTTAAGAAAGGTGGAGCGCTGAGTCTTAGACCACAACGCTGGAATTTTAAGAAAGCGGACTGGTGCGAATTTGAGACTCGGCTCGACGAATCGTTCGTAACTGAGGCTGTGAGGACTGTGCCCTCTATTGAAGATTTTACCCACAGACTTTTAGAATGTGCCAACAGTTGTATCCCACGCACGTCTGGCGTTCCCCGACGTACTCCTGTTCCGTGGTGGACGGAGGAGTGTCGGAGCGCCATCCGGGCGCGTAAACGTGCATTTCGGGCTTTTGACGCCAGGAGCAGTACAGAAAACTTCATAGCTTTTAAGGTGAGAGCTTTTGCTCGGCGCACCGTAAGGGAGGCGAAGCATGCTTCCTGGCATGCTTACGTGAGTACGCTGAACCGATTCACGCCAACATCGCAGGTTTGGTCTCGAATTAAGCGTATATCTGGACAGTTTACATCCATGGCTCTTCCGGTACTATGTGTGAACGGACAGGCCGTGACGCGCCCGTTGGAAGTTGAGAACGAAATTGCCCGGGCGCTGGCCTACCGCAGCGAAGGTGGCAACACTAACCCACAGTTTGTGCGGCACCGAGCGCAATGTGAGCAATTCGCAGTGGATTTTTCAACGAGTGAGCTGCACTCCTATAATGGTCCATTCACCCTGGTCGAGTTGGAATGGGCGAATTCCAAGCTTCGCAGCGTGTCAGAAGGTCCGGACACTGTACACAACGACATGCTCAAGCACTTGCCGCCTTGCGTGCTTCGTGCTCTTTCAGCGGTATTTAATGCGGTTTGGGCCAGTGGGGACCTTCCAGCCTCTTGGCGAGAACCTGTAGTCGTTCCTATTTTGAAACCGGGTAAAATTGGACTGGATCCTTTACACTATAGACCTACTTCTCTCACTTAATCGCCCTCTAAGTTGATGGAAAAGATGGTTAATGTCCGTTTAACTTGGTTTTTAGAACATCGCGGCGTTTTTACAAACGCCCAGTGTGGTTTTAGAAAGAATCGCAGCACAGTGGACAGTCTTTTAGTTCTTGACACTGCGATCCGTATGGGATTTAAAGCAAGCCGACACATAGGCGCAGTATTCTTTGACATAGAGGGCGCCTATGCCACCACATGGCGTCAAGGCATCCTTCTCAAGCTACACAGGTATGGTATACGCGGCAATATGGGCACCTTTCTCCAAAACTTTCTAGTTGACCGTTCTTTCCGTGTCCGTGTTGGAAACGCGCTCTCTGAGAGGCATGTTCAAGCTAACGGTGTGCCCCAAGGCGGCGTTCTCAGCGTAGCCTTGTTCGCCGTTATGATTAACGACATCGAGATTGGGCTGCCGCAGTCTGTAGGTCGTGCCCTTTTTGTTAATGATTTTACCATTTGGACCAGCGCAGCAAGAGCACCATCGATGGAGCGCCAACTCCAGTTGGCTGTGGACCGTGTTGGGAAGTGGGGTACCATGAACGGGTTCAGGTTTTCAAGTAGCAAGACTGTAGCCATGCATTTTTGCCGTAGCCGGCAATGCGGTGACCTGTCTATCCGTCTGTGTGAGCAATGCATTCCAACCGAGCCTGTGGCTAAATGTCTTGGGGTATACTTTGATCGCCAACTTACACATAAGGCACATCTTACGAAGCTACGTGACCGCTGTTTTAAATCTCTGAACGTATTGAAATGTGTTTCGCGCACATCGTATGGCGGAGGTCGGAGCACGCTTTTGCTGCTGTATCAGGCCATCATACGCTCTAAACTGGACTATGCATGTCTTATTTATGACAGCGCGTGTGAATCCACCAAACGCATCATTGACACCATCGATCACACCGCTATACGTGCCATCACAGGGGCGTTCCGTACATCTCCAACCCGAAGCCTCTTGGCAGAATCACACGAGCCGCCGTTGTCAGCGAGGAGGAAAATGCTCGGCATGCGTTACGCACTTCAGCTGCGACAGTTCCCGTGACATCCCGCATATCACGCAGTCTTTGCGCGACCCGCTGTCCCGTTTGTTCGCAATTCACCTCGGGCGCATGTTGTGACCTTTGGCTCTCGGATACAAGCCTTACTGCGGGAAAACGAAATTCCCATTCGAAAGGTCAAGCGATCGGGTCACTTGTGCACTCCTCCCTGGCATTTGATCTCACCCTTCACAGACACATCTCTGACTGAAATGAAAAAGTGTCTCGCTGCCAGATATAATGAGGTCCAGAGCGCTTGAGCGTATAGCGTTATATGAGGGCTACACACACACTTACACGGACGGCTCTAAAACTCCTGATGGTGTAGGCTGTGCGTTTGTGAGCGGTAGCGTCACCCGGTCGTTTCAATTACCCCCAAACGCTTCGGTTTTCACATTGCAGCTCATAGCAATCACTAAGGTACTATGTTTTATTGAAGTCGGCGACGAACCTTTACATCTCATTTTGACGGACTCTCTGAGCAGTGATCTGAGTTTGAAGTTTTTGTATCCATCATTTTCCCTTATACAGGACATTTTAATACGATTGACTCAATTGGATCAGGCCGGAAAGAAAGTCATGCTGTGTTGGGTTCCTAGTCACGTTGGAGTCGCGGGCAACGAGGTGGCTGACGCGGCTGCAAGGCGAGCAGCGCTGGCTCCATGTGTACGCTCTGTTTCCATCCCTGCTACAGATTATTACCCTGCAATAAAAAACTTTCTACAGAACTAATGCCGGCGTTATTGGGATGGGGCAAACGAAGATAAGCTCAGAGCAACGAAACCCAAGCTGGGTCAGTAGTTATCATGTTCTCACAAAGTTAGGCAAGAAGAGGTGGTGCTCCGCAGACTACGTATTGGGCGCGAGACGACTCAAAATTTTTTGGAGCTCAACAAATCGTTTTATTTCTCAAACACATCAACTTTGGAACCATTTATGCTGCTCATTAGATAGGTAAAAAAAACTCGTTATGGGTGCCAAATGACCACCGCAGTCGGCACGCCCCTAAACTCCAATAAACAACAACAAAAAGCAGTCTCCATAGGCCGCGTAGCGTCGGCGTACGGCTATGGCGCTAAGCGACGGCCAATAAGTAATCGAAAAATGTGACGCATCTTGAGGAAGATGGCTGCTGAACTAGGTAAATCGGCATATATACATTTATTTAAATGTGGTGCAAACGTAGTCCGTCCCGGTGGCTCTCGGTTTATTCCGTCCCGGTGGCTCAGTTGGTTAGAGCGCCTGCATTCCGACCCACCCATCTGTGGCGGGATGAGTTCGAGTCGCTTTAGGGCGCTCGCTATTTGCCCTTGGCAGGTATGGCCCGCGGCCGGTGGCAGCGGTCGCGCTAAAAGTCAGTTGACGTCAGAGGGCAGGACGGACCGTGCCGAGCATTGCGGCACGTAAAGCTTTCGCAACTAAATTCTGCCGTTGCCTGGAACTGCGCGATCGGATGGTGGGGGTCAGGGCTCACACAAGCACTGCTTAGCGTGAGCGCTGATCCCAGAAATCCATCCATTCAAAGGATTCGGACCAAATTTATAAAAAAAGAAAAAAAAGTAATCTAAACACAACCTTAACCTGAAAACTGGGGGGCGGGCAATTAACACTGCTGCCCCCCCCCCCCCCCACACACACACCTTGAAGAGTGGGGACTGGGAATGGCCCACTGCCCCCCTCCCTGTTTCTACACCCATGGTGATGCGTATACCGAGCTCCCCCTCACTTCATGAAGTCGTGGGTGCGCATCTCAGCGTAGTCATAATTATAGTCATGTCATGTATTTCGCAATTCCGTTCTCAGATATGCCTACGTAAGGTGTGCAAATCACTATATTCTTTACTCCTCATTGCACCAGAATCTCACGCAATATCCCAATTGTTCACATATCGCTAGATTCGCCTCGTTTCCGTTAGATCCTGCTTTTTCGCGTCTACCAGCAAAATTGTGCGGGTACTTGCAATTACTGGCGGTTTCGCACCTTCGGGCCGTGGGCGGGGGAGACTCTGCGGCTGCCCGTGAATATTTCTGCAAGCAGTGCATAGTTTACACCCAAATTTTCCACGATAATGAGTTTGGAGATTTCCCATCGAGTGGTGTCTAATTCATGTCAATCAGACGGCATGTTTAGGAGTTGACTTTGGCCACAGGTGCCTAAGCTTAAAGTAGCTATAAATAACACGTCTTGCTTTATTGACCCGAAAATATCCTCGATTGATACTAGTGTGCAGACAACTCTACTGGTGTCACTTTCGTTCAATTCTATGGAGTTGTTTGAAAGTTAGAGTTTGGCCACAAGTGTGGTCACGACTGTGCCCTCGGCTCCTCGGTTTTTTTTAAAGGTTATCCATGAATATCTTGGCAATGTATGCATTCTTTGCACTCATAATCACAGCAATTAGCAAACTTGCTATTTTATATTGGATGATGTCCATTTTGTTGGCATCAGACATTGTACATACAAGTTAGACTTTGGCCACAAATTGGCTGCTACCATGGTCACATTTTAGGGAGACCATGGTTCTCAGTGTTTCCCAAAACTGGGACATAACTGAGGTTTTTAGCACAAAGACTTGCTGGATACAGAGATTTGCTTTCACCCCAGAGGAGCTGCAGTGTCTTTTCACATGTTTTGTCCTTTCCATTGCAGGTGGCTGCCAACACTGGTTAAACAAACATGTGAGTGTGAAAGGTTACAGTGTGTATTTACTAAGAGATCATTTGGGTTTTGAATACACCACCTATTTTTGTGTTCTGCCACCCAGCATCATTGGTTTAATTTTTCAGGATAAGATTTCTATGCTGCAAAATATATCCAGTTGTCATGCACAAGCTCATTCCAGGGAAAAGTTGGCTCAATAACTAAGGTACACCCTCATGCTTCCAGACAGTTTGAACCAATTTCATTTTTGGAGTTGGAAATAGGCCACCCATACCATGATCTAAAAACCTTTGCACTAAACATGTTGTGGTGGCAGCAGTATTACAGCAAAAAAGTTAAAGTAGGTACACCTTAAATCTGAGTGTGCAGAGTTTGGTGTATGAGTACCACCACTTTCAGCTGATAGAGTCAATGTCTCAAGAAAAATGACTGGTGAAGGTAATTTGTCATGGTCAACAGTTTGCAGACCAGTGTGCCAAGTGTAAAATTGCTGATAAGATCTTTATGGGTGAGAGTTTGGTCAAACAATGAAATTCTTTACTTGTTTTTTTTTACTTTAAAGGTAGATGTTCTTGAAAAGGGCACTTAATGACCTTGGGGCTTTAATGTGTAAAGGTGGCAAATTTTCTATTGGAATAGGCTAAGCTGTTTGAAGCTTTCCAAATGCCATAGGATTCAGGCTGTCCTAAACATTATTAACATTTGTGTGATGACAGGCAAACAGACCCTACAAGAGGTGGGTATCATGTGAGCACATTTCCTGAAATAGAACATGAATTTTAATCAGTCTGGTCAGTCTAGTCTTCTTCCTGAGCATTGCAAAGTGACTCCCATTGTTACTGGCACACTCAGCATGCCAATTTTGAAAATGGTGCTGGTGTGATACACCAATATATGACCCACAACCTTTACTTAGATCATTTGTTCACCTTTTGCAGCTGGCTGCCATGTTGGAGCAAAGGAATTCCAACTATAGTTGCTCTGTGTAACCAGTTTCTCCCTAACTCTGTCATTGTCGAGACAGTGGGACTCATGATGTATGTTAATCCATGAGATGGTGTTCTTTCAAGCACTCATGATATCATGTTTAACCCTCACCCTGATTCAACATTTTCATAACACAAACCATTTGGGATCTATTTGATCTCCATGCTGAAAATGGGCTGGTGCCTCCTGCCATTTTCAACCTTAAAAAGGGTCTCAAATAAAAAATGGCATTGCATTGGTCCTTGCAACGAGGAATGAGATGTTACTGGGCCAGGTATTGACCCCAGTGGGTCAAGTCAAACATTAATTGCCCCAAAATGGGAATATTTCAGCTTTATGTGCAACATTTTCCAAAACCATCTCATGAATAAACTTAAAATTCACAGGTTTATTCTTCATTTCATTTGGAATACATCATCACACAGTTGTGTGTGTTTTTATAGTGTAGGGCCCTGTTGATATAACAGTATCACCCACGCCACACACAGTCGGCAGATTTGTCTACCACCACCCATGCCAGCCATGAATTGCTGTGCAGTGTTCCTGAAACAGTGGTATTCAGAAACCAGAATTTTTTTAGACATGTTTTCTATTGCCGAACAAGCACAATCAGTGCCCCAGAGACTAAAAGAAAGCTAGCACATATACTACAAAGTTATGCTGTCATGATTTCAAAGCATTTGTATGCAATTTGTTTAGTTGTTGATTGTTTAGTCATGTTCTCACCCATTGCAACATCATTCCCCTCCCCCCAATGGTCAATTACCATGGGCAACCATGCCATAAGTTCCCATACCTCCTCCACCCTTTGATCTTTTGTGAAAAGTCTCACCCCCTGCTGTTGCTGCACTAAAATACCCCCTTAAATGCTCACCAGGCCTATTATGACCTGTTAGATACACAATTTCGTTGTTTTTTCGAACGACTGCGATGTTGCTGAGGGTCGGCTTTGTTGTGCCAGGGGCACCAGGCAGCCAGCTAATGGGAAACAGTTCTTGCGAGGACGGCGCGAGACGGCCTTCGATCAAGGCGCATGTCCGTAAACAAGGCCCAGTGCTCCGTTGACGCGGCGTTCGGTGCCGACAGCATTGGGGATGGCGCGCCGGTCACGGCCGCAGCCCTCCACGTGGGAGGAGGCGCGCGGCGAGTTCTACCAGGAGCACTTCCCGTCGTCGCAGGCGGGCCTGGAGGCGGACGACTCGCTGTCGGGCGGCGCCTCGTCCTCCCAGGCCCAGCTGCTGCACATCCTGCCCAGCCGCCAGCTGCTGCACACAGTCGACGGTGAGCTGGCGCCGCTCACGCCGTGCCATAATCGGCACAACTGGCGCCGCTCACGCCGTGCCACAATCGGCACAGCTGTCGCCGCTCACGCCGTGCCACAATCGGCACAACTGGCGCCGCTCACGCCGCATGCCAACTGGACATGCGACAAGGCACGAGGGCTGTTGTTGAAATTACGAAGAATGCGTCTTCGAGGGAGGCTTACACCCATGCCACGATTCATGTGTCACAGTTACGAGGAATACTCCGTGAATGCGAACACTGATATGTTCCCACCAACCTTCTGCTTTTTTTTACCTGGCTTGTTCATTTGGTCATCTTTTGTGAATATGTTTACCTGTCTGTACCTCATGGTTTCCATGTTGCAATGTGTCGTGTGGCTTCGGTTTATGCGCAGTTGATTTTTCCTTTTTGTCTTTCCCGTACTCATGTGCCTAGTATTTCTTAACTTTATTCTAGTTGGTTCTTTAAATTTCCTGTTGTGATAGAGCTCTGTTTTTCGACGACCGCGATTCGGCTGAGCCGGGATCAAGTTACTCCTGTAAACTCATCCGTGGGGTGGGTTTAGACGGCCCGCCGGCCCACCGACGCCCGCCAGAGCTAACGCTGCCCGCCCCGGCCATGCTCGCTGGCCGGCCGGTACCTCTGCAGGACCCGGCACAGTTCCGTCCGCCTGTTTGTCCTGTAATTTCTTTGACGCGACTATGAAATGCGGGCCGCAGCACCCAGCTCGAACGCCGGCATGGGGCCCTGATTTGGCCGGTTGTTTTGGCGCAGGGTTACCCCGGGATATCACCTGTGAAGAAGGCCCTGCGACTTCTATCTGATTCCGGGTGGGGACGGTAATGCTCGTTCGATGATATCTTATCGCGAGTTCTTGTTGGTGGGAGTCACAGATGATTACGTTGAGTGATAATCGACAGTCATCTGATGGCGGGGGAAATACGCTCCGGCCAGATTAGCCCCGACAGCGGTGAAGTGACGGCGGTGGAACCGCCACCCAGCTGACTGGTGTGTGCCCCGGCTGACGGGTGTGTGTCCCGGCTGACCGGTGTGTGCCCCGGCTGACCTGTGTGTTCCCCGGCTGACGGGTGTGTGCCCCGGCTGACGGGTGTGTGCCCCAGCTGACGGGTGTGTGCCCCGGCTGACGGGTGTGTGCCCCGGCTGACCAGTGTGTTCCCCAGCTGACGGGTGTGTGCCCCGGCTGACGGGTGTGTGCCCCAGCTGACGGGTGTGTTCCCCGGCTGACGGGTGTGTGCCCCAGCTGACGGGTGTGTGCCCCGGCTGACGGGTGTGTGCCCCGGCTGACGGGTGTGTGCCCCGGCTGACCGGTGTGTTCCCCGGCTGACCGGTGTGTTCCGCCGTGTGTGCCCCAGCTGACGGGTGTGTGCCCCGGCTGACGGGTGTGTGCCCCGGCTGACGGGTGTGTGCCCCGCTGTCGGGTGTGTGCCCCGGCTGACCAGTGTGTTCCCCAGCTGACGGGTGTGTGCCCCGGCTGACGGGTGTGTGCCCCAGCTGACGGGTGTGTTCCCCGGCTGACCGGTGTGTGCCCCAGCTGACGGGTGTGTGCCCCGGCTGACGGGTGTGTGCCCCGGCTGACGGGTGTGTGCCCCGGCTGACGGGTGTGTGCCCCGGCTGACCAGTGTGTGCCCCGGCTGACGGGTTTGTGCCCCGGCTGACAGGTGTCACCATGAGTCGCGGCCAGATGACCCGCACTCTCGGCAAGCGACGCTCAACGCTGACCCTGCGGCCCAGCCAGGTGCAGGCTGACGCCGACGATGAGATGCTGCCCGACCAAGGTATGCGCGTGCCGACGCCGCGGCCGCGGCGGGTCAGTGCACACCTGAGCGGGCCTCAAGATCTGTGCGGCGGGGTTTTATGGCGCGTCATAAAAACACGCTGCTTCACGGCAGAATGCTTGGTTGATAAGACGGTAGGTTATGACAGGAGCTCTCTGCAGCTGTGTACCCCTCGCTCTTATCACATATTGCTGTACGGTGCATTTAACCTGTGCCACACAGTTTGATATCGTACATGCATCATATATTGCATATGCTGCATGTAGTTATCGTACGTATGATATCGAACACAGCCTGAAGATATCGTTGACTACGAGAAGTGCTTCGTGGTCGCCCGTAATTGCTGGACCATGCCACCGCTGGCTGAGATCGGTCCCGACTGGTGCAGCGTCTGCCTGTGACGTCAGACGGCGTCCGGTGTGTTGTTTGGGCCCACCGGGACTGTGTGCTGGGCGCGGCGTCGGCTACGCGGGCGGTCGCCGGCGGTGGCGGCTGGTCTGGCCGAGCGTGGCCACGCGGCATGCTGGCCGCTGACGGCCGGCCGTGTGGTCTGCCGCAGACATTCCTGACGAACAGCAGGTCTGGGACCAGATTCAGGCCATCAAGGCTATGCCGATTCCGATGGAGAAGAAGAGGGAACGCAAGAACAAGCTCCTTGTACGTACAATCGGAACACAGCATTTGTAAATTTGTTCATGGAACTGCCAGTAACAAAATACACGTGCGGCTGGAAAAACATCGAGTGATGTGCTGAAGTCGTCACGTCACGTATCTGAGCGTACGGCCGCCAGCGGCAGTGATCAAACCGCCGCACTGGTGCGGACGTGTGTAAACAGGTACCAATCGAGTATCCGACTACTATTTTATGTTTCACAGTGGGTATCGCCGTGCTATTCGTCTTTGTTCCAGACCTCTTCGGCCTTCCGAGTACAGGGCATGCAGCGGTTTCATTTGCATCGGCAGAAGTTCTGGTCACACTTTAAGGACGCTATGGTGGACATCTTCGCGTTCGAGCTGTGGCACGACTCTCTCCGCCTCATCGAGGGCAACTTCGGCACGGGCGTGCTGTCCTATTTCCGCTACATCAAGAAGGTGATGTACATGAACATTGCGGTGTTCGCGGCCATGCTGTCGTTCGTGGTGCTGCCAAACCTGCTGCTGAAGCGGACGGAGCCCCTGCACTGCGACCTCACCGACAACAGTACGGTCACTGCCTGCTGCAACCAGAACTACACCGAGTACGTGCACAACAACAGCTGGGGCGGCGTCACCAAGGGCTTCATGGACTTCCTGCAGGGCACCGGCTACATGGAGCTAACGCCGCTCTTCTACGGCTACTACGAGAACGTGGTGCTGATTGGCGCCACGTCAGGGCTGTACTACAACCTACCGCTGGCGTACGTGCTCGTGTCCATCAGCTGTCTGCTGCTCTGTCTGGCGTTCGTGGTCATCCACACGGCGCACGGCTTCCAGGACGCCATCCTGTCGCGGGGCAAGTTCTATCAGTACTGTAACGTGATCTTCAGCGCCTGGGACTTCTGCATCGACAACGTGAGCGCCCGCGAGTACAAGCAGATGGCGGTGTACAACGAGCTGAAGGGCTACCTGGAGACGGACCAGTACGAGGCGGAGCGGCGCAACCGTAGCCAGATGGACGTCATTCAGCTGTACGTGGTCCGCACCGTCACCAACATCATCGTCACCGTCATCCTCATCATCTGCGGCGTCATCATCTTCTACGTGGTGCAGTACTCGCTGTTGCACGTCGAGATGGAGGCCAGCGGCGAGAACCGGTCGACGCTGCTGACCATTTACCAGTACTTACCAGCCATGACCGTGTCCGTGATGAACATTGTGGTCACGCTCTTCATGTACCACATCGTGACGCTGGAGCGCTACACGGCGCAGGTGAACGTCATCCTGACGCTGGTGCGCACCGTGTTCTTGCGCGTCGCCTCCATCGCCGTGCTCATGTACTCGTTTTTCGTTAAGTACAAGGCCCAGTGCGAAGGCCAACTGACAGGCTTCGAGTGTTTCCTGCCGGGCTGCCGCGCCAACGCCTGCTGGGAGACCATCATCGGCCAGACCTGCTACAAGCTGATGCTGACCGACTTCGCCTGCATCGCCGGTTTAAACCTGTTCGTCTACTTCCCGCTGAAGGTGGTGATCGACCACTTCCAGGTGCCGTGGATGCGCAAAATCTTCCTGCAGGAGTTCGAGATTCCGCGCCACGTGCTGGACGTCGTCTACAACCAGGCGCTGTGCTGGCTGGGTGTCTTCTACTCGCCGCTGCTTCCCGGCATCGCCGCGCTCATCTGTTTCCTCTACTTCTACCTCAAGCGTTTCACCTGTACACGCATCTGCGAGCCACCGAAGCTGTCGCTGCACACCATCCGCTCGTCGGCCTTCTACATGCTTGTGTCGCTGTTCTCCTTCTTCGCGGCGCTGACCATCATCATCTTCTCGATGGCCGAGGTCCAGCCGTCGCGCTCATGCGGCCCATTCCGAGGCCTCCATACGATGTGGATGGAGATCCAGGACACAGTGAACGCGCTGCCCGGCTGGTTGCGCACCTTCATTCACTTCTTCGGCTCGGCTGGGTTCGCCGTGCCGCTGGTGGTGGCTCTGCTGCTGGCCATGTACTACTACTCGGCCATCGCCGCGGCCAACAAGCACATGATCGAGGTGCTAAAGGAGCAGCTGGTGTTGGAGGGCCATGACAAGCAGTTCCTGCTGAGCAAGCTGAACGAGCTGACGTCGCTGACTCGGCACCGGCTTACCGAGAGGCGGCGCAACGTCATTGGCGAGCGTCTGATGGAGGGTGTCCATTTCGCCGAGATGGGTGCCCGGTCATCTGGCGCCGGCAGCGAGACGGTGGTGACACACCAGGAGTTGTAGCTCTTGACTCCGCTCTCCGACAGTGAGACGGTGGCGGCACACCAGGAGTTGTGGCTCTCGACTCCGCCCTCCGACAGTGAGACGGTGGCGACACACCAGGAGTTGTGGCTCTCGACTCCACCCTCCGACAATGGGACGGTGGTGACACACCAGGAGTTGTAGCTCCCGGCTCCACCCTCCGACAGTGAGACGGTGGCGACACCAGGAGTTGTAGCTCCCGGCTCCACCCTCCGACAGTGAGACGGTGGTGACACCAGGAGTTGTAGCTCCCGGCTCCACCCTCCGACAGTGAGACGGTGGTGACACGCCAGGAGTTGTGGCTCCCGGCTCCACCCTTCGGCGGTGAGACGGTGGTGACGCACCAGCCGCTCGCTGCAGCCTCGCTCGCCGACGGTGGGGCGAGTGTATAGCGCGGGGCTCAGGACGCGGGCGCGACACGGAGCGCGCCGCCACGCGGCCCGAGCAGCGGAGGTGTGACACGCCCAGCGGCAGCGTAAATCGCAGGTTTGCGTCTCCTCCCGAGCGCAGCCGCGTGTCTAGTCTTCGATGTGATGATTTGTTGAATTTTACGTATTGCGTTGTCACGTGAGTGCCCTGCGTAGGACGGGGCGGCTGATTTGCTTACGTGTACTGTTAAGCATCAAGTATTTATATCGGTGTGGCTCGATTCCGTACCTACGTGGTCTCAGACGTATTGTTACGCGAGCGCTGTGACGCAATGCCCAAGCCACGCCGTCTATTTATGTTATGGTATGAGTTAAACTTGAGTCACTATTTATGGTTCAACTGCACCTAGTCTAAGTTTGCTTATGCAAGACCACCCAAGTATGATAGCTATTTCCACATCCGTGAATTCCATTAAGGTGTACATTTGCTGAGTGAACACGGGCGTGTTAGGCCAGCGCAAGGTTTTCAAAGGCGTCAGTGTTGACGTTTCTACCATATTTTTACGTACCTACGTATTGTGCCAAGCTTCCACTCATCGTGTGTCACCATATTTACTCAGTTGAAAGGCGCCTGACCTTGACGCATTCGATTCGCCTGCCGCTCATGTCTTTCAAAGGCGCGAGGTGGAGTTGCGTTGGCACTGGTGAGAGGTGCTGCAACCTGGTGGTGATGTGCAGGACCGAAGCTTTCGAGTCACCGCGCTAGTTTTCGATCCCGGAAAGCGTGCCATTGTACTGCTGCAAATGCATTCCTTGGTGGCATTTACTGTAGTAAAAAGTGGAGATATGAACAGCTGTGTGTGAACAGTGGGCGTCGAATATACGCTGCGCGTCTGACCAACGCCCGGATGTATCAGAGCACCGGAGCGCTGAAAAGCATTCTGCGATGGGAACGGCTGTGAAAATCGGTATAGTTTTACACTGAAGGTTGAAAATGTCATGATCAGATGCGCAGTCGGCCACTCCTTGATCTCGTTTCGGTCGTGCTGACACTCAGGTAATGGCAACCGAGTGATTGCACGTACTCGATCTTAGGCCCCATTGCATAGGGAGACCAACTGCTGTTCATTTGTATTTGTCAGATATTAGCTAAATTAATGCAACCGGCTGGTCACGGCGCCGATGACAGTTGTGAGACGCTCGGTAACAGTTCGGTAACATCTCGCAGCTGTGTCACGCTCGGTAACATCTCTGTAACATCTCACAACTGTGAGACGCTCGGTAACGGTTCGGTGACATCTCACAGCTGTGTCACGCTCGGTAACAGCTCGGTAACATCTCACAACTGTGAGGCGCTCGGTAACGGTTCGGTGACATCACAGCTGTGTCACGCTCGGTAACATCTCGGTAACATCTCACAACTGTGAGACGCTCGGTAACAGTTCGGTAACATCTCGCAGCCGTGTCACGCTCGGTAACATCTCGGTAACATCTCACAACTGTGAGACGCTCGGTAACGGTTCGGTGACATCACAGCTGTGTCACGCTCGGTAACAGCTCGGTAACATCTCGCAGCTGTGAGACGCTCGGCAACAGCTCGGTAACATCTCACAGCTGTGTCACGCTCGGTAACATCTCGGTAACATCTCACAACTGTGAGACGCTCGGTAACGGTTCGGTGACATCTCACAGCTGTGTCACGCTCGGTAACAGTTCGGTAACATCTCGCAGCTGTGTCACGCTCGGTAACATCTCGGTAACATCTCACAACTGTGAGACGCTCGGTAACGGTTCGGTGACATCTCACAGCTGTGTCACGCTCGGTAACAGTTCGATAACATCTCGCAGCTGTGTCACGCCCGGTAACATCTCGGTAACATCTCACAACTGTGAGACGCTCGGTAACGGTTCGGTAACATCTCGCAGCTGTGTCACGCTCGGTAGCATCTCGGTAACATCTCACAGCTGTGATACGCTCGGTAACATCTCGGCAACATCTCACAGCTGTGTCACGCTCGGTAGCATCTCGTTTACATCACAGCTGTGATACGCTATGTAACATCTCGGTAACATCTCACAGCTCCGATCGCTCAGCAACATCTCGGTAACATCTTACAGCTGTGAGACGCTCAGTAACATTTCGGTAACATTTCACAACTGTGAGACACTCAGTAACATCTCGGTAACACCTTATAGCTGTGGACGCTCAATAACATTTCGGTAACATCTGACAGCTGCGATACGCTCAGTAACATCTCGGTAACACCTTATAGCTGTGAGACGCTCAGTAACACCTCGGTAACATCTCACAGCTGTGATGCGCTCAAAAGCAGTAGCAGTAGCAGCAGCATACTGCTTAATCCTTAGAGCTATGAGTGTTTCATATTAATCATACGTGTCTGGTTCTGGGCTCCCTTCCTCCTATGCTTGTCGCGAACGTAATCGAAACTTCCGTCGCGCGATGACACTTCGTACCGCCAACGAGCATTTTGTGCGTCCTTGAAATGGGATATGAAAAGCAGCGGCCGACCCAGGCGCAGCATCAAACCAACCCAACTAGGCCCAACGGGAAACATTGTGACGGAACTTGGTGGCGAAAAAATACAAGATGCTCGTAAATAAATAAGACAACGCTTTGTGGGTCACATGCTGAGGAGTCAGCTGGGCATAATCGGTTGACCAGCTGGAGCGAGGAAGGCGCTTTCCTGTGACGTTCGCCACCCGCCGCTGGCTAAACTGAACCGACCGCACTGGTGAGCATACTGTAGCGTTTTCACTGATAATGATAATTCGAGGTTGATTTCAGCGTAGTACCTTGGCGGCAGATCAGTTCCCCCCACGGCCGTTTGAACCTATCATAACGCCATGTCTGCCGTTGACTGCCGCCTGGACACAACATGACGTCATCTCAATTACAGTGATGGCTTAACGTGCAAATTGAAATGTATATCCTAAAAAGAGAAGTTCAGGCGACGGCGAGCCAGGTATGAATGACGTAGATCTGTCCGCAGGGCGAAGGGTCACCTGGACACGCTGGTGGCAGCAGGTTAAGGTCAGATAGCGACAGATAGGATCGAAATTGGTGGGGTGCTGCCTGTTTTGCAAAGATTGGTCACCCCATTCGCCACTGACTGGAATTTAACAAACCCTGGAGTAACCATTGGGGACACAAATTTGTCTCAAGCAGGCCCTCGTAGGTACGCAGGATCGTGCAAAGGTGGCGAGATGCCATCCGCACTCGGCTTGATACTGTTCCAGCGGAGCCGAATCTGACTCCGGCTCAGCGCATGGGCCCATAACACAACGTCGATGCGACTCTGTATCAAACACGGCACTTATTGCTGAGGTGGTCGATTCCGATCACCAACGGTTAATGACATAGATCGCTCCACACAGGCTTAACAGGGAGGATCCGTTTTGGCAATAATACCGTTATTCATGCTTAGTACTTTGTATCATTCCATTTGATCCGCATATAAGTTTATGCATTGTAAACATATTTTGTCACTGACGTTTGGTGACTTGTGACACACAGGGGCGGTTCCAGAGGGGGGGGGCACGGGACCATGCCCCCCCTTGGTCCCGAATGGGCCCATTGTCTCCGAAGGGGCCCATGCAGTTTTTTAATACAAAACGCAAAAAACTAGATATCTCTGAACTCCCAGACGACCGAGAACAATTGTAAGCGAAAGTGAAGGGCCTATGATAAGTCAAAAAGAATTCATTGATTGGAAAAATTGGGAACTGGAAACTTCAGGCCTCATTTCACTGTCTTCGGGCCGATGCTGTCACTGCGAGACCCATATGCCCACTTGCGTGGTCATTTCAATAGCCAAGGGGCATTCCACGTGGCCCTTCATTTCTCTGCATTTGCTCGAGGGACTCCGCGCTGTCGTTGAGGCCCTTCCTGCCAGCGTGCCGGGACACTCAACCACGGGCCCTTCCGTGTGTTCTTTCCATTCGCCAGAAAGGCTGTGTGAGCTATAGCCGGGGCCCCATATCTTAACCTGCCGGGGTATTCTCTGTTGCCCAGGGGCCATTTACGTGGGTCTCAGTTAACCTACCGACACACTTGCGATATGCTCACGGGCCCTCTTCATTGGTCTAGGGCGGTTCCAATTTATGGCTCTGCACTCTTGTCGGAGGCCCATCTGATAGCCTGCTTGGGCACAACAGTCGTTCGGGAACCCTTCACACTGGGTCTTTTCTTAATGGGGATTTTACGCTTTTTGGGGGGGGGAGGGGCTATCTGATAGCGTTCGGGGGTCCTCTACATTGGGCCTAGGGCACGTGCTATTTGAATGGGTCCCACGCACTTGTCAGGGCCTCTCTGTTCGCTCCTCGGCCACACTGGATTGCTCGGGGCCCTGCACATTGGTTCTTGGTGTTTGAATTTAGGGCCCTCTGCTCCTATCGGGGTCATCCGATAACCCGTTTGGGTACACTCCATCTTTCGGCGGCCCTCGGCATCGGGCTTTGGATACTTCTTATTTGAATGGAGGATCTTACGCCCCTGTCGGGGCCTCTTCTGATAAGATGCTCGGGCCGATTCAATCGTGGGGACCTCTACATGTGGTTTTTGGGTACATACTTTTTGAATGGAGGGCCCTCCGCGCTTTTCGGGGACCCTATCTGGTAACCTGCTCTGGCGCATTCGATTATTTGGGCCCTCTACATCGTGTTATGGATATTTCATATTTGAACAGAAGGCCGTACGCCGGGACCCCGTCTGTTAACCTGCTCGGACACACTCGAATATCCGGGGGCTTTCCACATAGTGTCTTGGACACTTTATATCTGAATTGAGGGTCGTACGTGCCTGACGGAGGCCCCATATGTTCGCCGCTTCGGCCACACTGAATTGTCCGGGGGCCTTGCTTATTGGATACTGGCGTTTGTATTTAGGGCTCTACACTCCTGTCTGGGCCACCTGATAATCTGCTTGGTTATACTCCATCTTTCGGGAGCCCTCTGCTCCGGGTTTTGGGTACTTCTGATTTGAATGGAGGGCCCTACGTTCTTCTCGGGCCCTTCTGATAAGCTGCTCGAGCACATTCTGTCATTCTGGGGTCATTCACATAAGATCGTCGGTGCGCTCCATTCGAATGGAGGGTCTTGCGCTCTTGTTGGGAGCCCTATTTTTTAATCTGCTCGGGCACACTCGACCATTCAGAGGCGCTCTTCATTGGGTTTGGGATACTTCCTTTTTGAATGGCTCCCTCCCTGCGCTCCTGACGCCGGCCCTATGTGTGAACCGGCTCTGATGCACTGGATCAATCGGGGGGGGGGGGGGGGGGGGGGGTGGTCCTCTGCATTGGGTCTTGAATACTTCTTATTTGAAAGGAGTGCCATGCGCTCTTTTTGGGGAGCTTATCTGTCAACCTGCTCGGGCACACTCGAATATTCGGGGGCCCCCTACATTGGGTCTTGGGCAGTTCCTATTTCAATGAAGGACCCTACGCTGCTGATCGGGCCCCTATATGTTAACCTATTCGGGCGCACTCGATCGCTCAGAGTCCTACACATGGTGTCGTGAGTATTTATTTTTGGAATAGATGGCCCTATGTTCGTTGTGGACCCCATCTGTTAAGCTGCTCGAGCCGGTGGCGGATTCAGAGGGGGGGGGGGGGGGGTGGAGGGGAAGCACAGGACCATGCCGAGGGGACCTAAGGGCTCCGAAGGGGCCATAAGAGGCCGGACGGACGCAGTTTTTTTTACAACATAGACAACAAAGTTGGAAGCCTTTGGGCATCCAGACGGCCAAAAACAGTTGCTAGTAAAAGTAATGAGTTCATAAGCATACCGAGATCATTTTTTTGCTGATTGAGGAAGTGTCGCTGGGGGAAAATTTTGGAGCTCATCACGTTGTCTAGAGCCATTGTGCTGTTGGTTTCCTGGCCGCATATGTCCAACTTGCCGGGACAATCTGATCGCCAGGGAGCTTTCCGCACTGCCCTTGATATCTCTGCTTTTTCTCGTAGGGCCTAATGTGCTGTTGGGATGCTATCTGCCTCCATGCCTGAGCGCTGACGATCGATCAGGTTTTTCTCCGCGAATTCTCCCCGTTCGCCCGAAAGGCTCTGTACGCTTTTTTCCACGACCCATGTGCCAGGGTACACTCAGTTGCTCGCGGGCCCTTCATTTATGTCTCGAGCTCTTCCTACTTGCTCGAAAGGCCTGGTACTGTTGCTAGGGCTTGTATAAGGTAAGGCACGCTCCATGCTCAGGGGTGTGGCGTTTATGGAGCTGGATCAGCTCGCGTATTGTCTGGCTCGGTGCGAGCAATAAAACGCGTGGTAACGGTCGGTGGGGAAGTTGTCTATCATTCCAAGGTCAATAGGGGTTTGTTTCATATGGTATCCCGGGAGGGTATGACAATACAGGGGAATGTGAATGATTTTCATTGCAACGAGACATAGACACTACATCCCTCCCCTTCTTCAGATGATAGCTTACACATAGTCCTTCATCCACTCGGTCTGGCGCCGCGCGCGGTGACGCATGGTCGGGGAACACACTGGCGCCGGGGACGAGGTCGTGGCGTGGGAGGCCGCAGTAGCGGCGCGGAAAGTAGGGGTGTGGCGCCGCATGGTCTCGAGGATGCCATCCATCGCCTGTTCTTCGTCCTCTTCTTCGGAGCGATCAGCGTCCTGTCCACGGAGGTGCGGGCATTTTTTTTAATAGCGACGCGTTTCTCGTCACCTAGTGACATCCACGTGATGCGGTGACCATGGTGCCTTGGATTCCGGTCCCTTCTTATGGCACTGGGCAGAACCGAGGTGTCAGCTCTTCTGAGTAGTGGTGTGCGGTGTTGGTCGGTAGTTTCGTAGAAACTTGTTCATTTCCTGCTTGATCGGGCGTTGCTCGACGACAGCAGCTTTCACGGCTTTTGATAGCGTTCTCATGAAACGTTCTGCTTCTCCACTAGCTCTTGGCCACAACGGGGTGATCCTGCGGTGCTTGAAGCCGATTTATCCCATCCAACGTCCATTTCATTGCGGCGATACATAGACACTACGAGGGGTCATCTACTTTGATCGATGTCTCTCCCCCTTTGGACTCATTTGCGGAGGACTCCTCACTCCTATCAAGGCTCGTGTTGTTTACCTGCTCACGCACTCTTGACCGGACAGGGGTATGAATTCATGGTCTTGGATAATTCCCCTTGGCTCGGAAGTTTCTGTGTTCTGCCCGGGGCCTTATATAACAGCCTGCCGGGGCACTACCGGTCGTTCGTGGGCCCCTACGTTGGCTTGGGTTCTTTTTGCTTGCTCTGCGGACCCTATATTTGTTGACGGAAGTCACTTTCTTGACTTCCTGTGGCACCCATGATCGCTCAGGTTTCGTCCCTATTGGCCTTGGTACTTTCGCCTCGGAGCAGGGGTCGAACATGCGCCGATGAATTTTTACGTGCAATTGCCGAACGTAAGTTTATATGCCGCCGACGTCCTATGTGTCATTTTCATTAGCTATTGAAGGTGTGACACTTATTACACTAATGCATTATGTTCTTAGCATATTTCGAGCGCTAGGATATGTTGTACTCCTTTATAACAGAGCAAAAACTCTGTACTAGTCATCAGCCATCAATTGATGGCATCGCCCAACCGGCTAGCTGTAAAAAACATAAGCTAGAAATCAAGTTAATGCTTGGTTTTGATGGTTGTTAACAGTTATCTCAAGTTTAGTTTGCCTGTTGTCCCGAAAACTTAGCCTCAAAATCACAGCATTTAAAATGATCTGCAGAAAGTGAGTGAATTCTATGTGTATGCATGCGTAGCATACCTAACTTTATAAGGCCGTGCACAGTAAGATGGGTTTCCGTATTTATGAAATAGATAAATAGGTAATTACATACATGCATATATACGTGCCTTAATATGGATATATTATACACGTGTATATATGCTACAGAAAACTTGTCTTAAAATGTAATGACCGAAATTCAAGGATATTTTCTCGAGGGGGCCACACACTCCAGGGGGCCCCACAATGTTAAGTGCATTCCCCCCCCTTGATGCAATCTTGGATCCGCCCATGGTGACACAAACGCCGACTAAAAGCAAAGTTGCAGTTTTGGCTGAAAACAAATTTGGCTGATCCTGGATTCGAATACTCCTGCAAGTTTTTGATCATCAGTTGGCATGTTAACGAGGGGGGGACGGGCAATCACCGCGTTGCATTAAATTTAGCTGCACTATACCTTTTATTTTCTGGGCTATTTTGGCGCAGATGTGTCAATCTGATTAACGAGTAAACGTTCAACATTTCCGCGCACGCGAATCGCTCCACTAATGTGTTTCGGAGGGCGATGTGTCGCCGAGCGGGGGTGAGACGCGGCAACTCGGATTAGCCCTGTAATAATTGGATGAATGGTGAAGAGGATTTTTTGTACTGTATGAGGGACGAAATGGGGTTCTATGAATGGTATAAAAGTGATAATCAAATGAGCGGTGCCTGATATGGTATGGTCGGAGTGCAGAGTGTTACTGAATGCTGTTTTACCCGTGGTTCTGGGCTCAAACATTTGATTTAAGGAATTCAGGTTGAAAAGATGTCTCTTTGTGACAAATTAAGGTGAATGTGTACACACACACCCAATAATGCTTGATACAGATGTGTTGAATTTTATGAGAGGTTGGGTATTTTTATTTTTGTATTCTATCATATTGTTTTTGGTTTGTTTCACACACTTATGCATTTCCAGGCTAGACCATAAAATTGCATGCTTTTCAGAGTGTGTCCATTCTCAATTTATCCATCTGGAACTAAAATTAATCAGCTATGCTGGATACCTACATGACATTTGTGCACTGTACCTTATGCTCACTTCTGGCATTTCAGGTCAGACAAAAATGTTCAGTTTTTACATTGTTTCTAGGGGAGAGATTTTTGGGGTTTGTCTGACATACCTTTGCATTATCACACATGGCTTGTTATGTACTAAGATTGGTGCCAACCATTTGCCAAGCTCTGAGTGGTCAAATTTATCATGTATGCATCCTGTTATTGAAATTGTTGCTGTGCTATTGCTGCTACACAGGACATGTTCATGTATTGCATAACATGTTTTGGTCACAATGATCTGTTTGGTATTGTGACAAGTCTTGTCTTCTGGTGTAAGGAACCATATTCTGTTGGGGGCTCAATATAATCACGGTGTAATGATAAACTTGAATATACCAGTCTCCTGGTATATTAAGCTTCATGAACTCAGCAGAATGAACTCAGGTGGTTAGCTGCTTAGAGACTATCCAAAACATGATCAAGATTCAGGCCTCTGGCAGATGTTAAGTTAGTAAAGATCAGTTAATATAATTACAAGGTATCCTGAGGTCACTTGTAACACACTGGGCTGACAGAGCAGTATTTACTGCATTGCTGATTAAGATTGCAAGGGTGCATGAAAGTCTAAGGGAATAATAGTATTGAGGCTGCTCATCTCTCAGATAAATCACCCTTTTATCATAAGATGCTGATATTTCACAACATGTGTATCTAACATGCATGTGCAACTGCTACATGACAGGATCCTATCAAAATAAATGTTAAGTGCCCACCTATCATACAAGATATGCCTGGAGCAGCATTAATACCTGTGACTGAGATATAGGTTCTCTTCACAGTTGCACAAGCCCAGACATTTCTGACTGATACATGCATTTCATTTGATACCTGCATATTTGCAGCCTAATACATATTTTGTGACAAAAGCATGTGGCTTGCATACTCATTAATTAAGAAGGTGTCTCAGTGGTCACTAATGTGTTGCTTGGCAAATGACCTGTAAACCCTTTTTTTGAAAGTGTATCTTATCTAAAAGACAATATTTCTTCAGAATGTATGGGCAGAACATGTATAGATTGCCTCTGCTTTTCATATTTTTTATGAGACAATTGGTAGTCTTATTGACCCATTAGATTGATGGTCATATTGATATCACTATCAACAACTCCAATGAATAGCATGTGGATTTAGCAGTGCGTATGGTGTTTGATTCCTCACTATATGTGCCCTGCCTGCCAGGGTGAGAGGCAGCAGGAAGTTCCATAAAGCCTCAGCAGTAGTGTGTTTTTAAGTACCAATGGCAACATCAACAACTTACCAGTGCACTAATTAACTCCAAACTTGCCCCATGTGTGAGAATGGCAGTCATCATAGAGGGCTCTCATTTTTGCTAACAGCATGTTCCAGTTCAGTATAGGATAATGGTGGAACTATTCTTACAATGTTAGCCCATAGCATTGGGGCATGTTAGCTCATAGCATCAGGCCTTATTTCTCCTAAATTCTGCTATTTTTTATCATATTCAGATGCATGCTTCAAACCACGCAGTTCACATGAACTTATTTGTTTTGTCATGCGTCTACATCATTTCCAGGCGTGAGTGAAGTTCAGCAAGAGCCATCATGAAAGACACTGGCAGGAGCAAGGGGGCGGCACCCACAGTGCAGCAGATCAATGCAGACCGTGTCACACAGGTTAGTACCACACAAGGAACACACAACTTTTGAAGCAGCCTCCTCTGTGGCTACAGCTTGTGCCAATATGTGTTCAAATGCCATGTCCGCATCACACTCTGCCTTGCATGGGTAGCTTCATTTCACAACTCTGTGTATGCTTGATTGCAAGTGGTCAGCAGGTTCTGCTGATGATGTCAAACATGTTTGGCATCACCAGGTGTGACAAGTGTAGATGCTCAGTATGTTTGGTTGAACCTCTCTGGTCATTGTTGGCTTCCAGACTTCATGCCAGTTTCTTTTGAGAATTGTCCTAAAATATTAGTTTGGCTTACTCCTCTGTTGCTGTAGCTGAACCCATTTCTTGAGTTCATTGGTGCAGGATGGGACCTGAAGATGCATCAATAACTTTCACAGCTGGCCAATCAATACTGGTCCCCATACATTATCAGCGTGGGTCAGCAGGCTCCGTTCAACCCAGCTATCATTGAAGAAATCTACCAGCAGGAGCTCATTGGCTCAAAGTGAGTAATGCCTGCTGTCTGTGTCCTTCTCTTGTTTTGTGTTGTTTGGTTTGGTTTGGTTTTTGTTTTGTTTTGTTTTTTACTGTCCTGTCCTGGATCTCTCACTTTCTCTTACTTATTCCATGGTATGCTTACTTCCATCCATTTATCTGTCTTATCATTTTCTTTTGTCTTGTGCACATGCGTTTTTAGTTCATGTGTTTTTAGCTTACGTTACCGGTTCTCAGCTGGTGTCCGACAGTTTAAACCCATGTTATTTCCACCCTGTGTACTATGCGGGAATATGCCGTCAAGTAAGCAGTATACTGCTGGCTGGCGACTAGCGGTATTTGCCGTCGGCCTGAGCCCAGTTTATTTCTGTCATCGGATTTCGAGAAAGAAATCATCGCGACTGCTTTCATATAAAGAAAATAGGAAACGTCGTCGCCGCAGTGTTCCACGGTGTTCGGCCTCATTGGAGCTGATACACCTCTAATCTGTGTCATGGCCGCCCGCAGTTTCGCCGTACGCCGTGTCATGCTGCTCGAGTTCTCGCAGTACTTGGAGAACTACCTGTGGCCCAACTACCAGCCGCGCCTGGCCACGCACGCTCACCTCATGTCGATCGTGGTCACCGTCAACGAGAAGGTCCGCGAGCGCGTCCCCGCCTGGCACGTGAGTGAATGTGCCGCGCAGCTGACGGAGGGTGAGGCAGGGGGCTGCTGACAGAGGGCGAGGCTGGGAACTGCAGACGGAGGGCGAGGCAGGGAGCTGCAGACAGAGGGCGAGGCTGGGAACTGCAGACGGAGGGTGAGGCAGGGAGCTGCAGACGGAGGGTGAGGCAGGGAGCTGCAGACGGAGGGCGAGGCTGGGGGCTGCAGACAGAGGGCGAGGCTGGGGGCTGCAGACATAGGGCGAGGCTGGGGGCTGCAGACATAGGGCGAGGCTGGGGGCTGCAGACGGAGGGCGAGGCTGGGAGCTGCAGACGGAGGGTGAGGCAGGGAGCTGCAGACGGAGGGCGAGGCTGGGAGCTGCAGACATAGGGCGAGGCTGGGGGCTGCAGACATAGGGCGAGGCTGGGGGCTGCAGACGGAGGGCGAGGCTGGGAGCTGCAGACGGAGGGTGAGGCAGGGAGCTGCAGACGGAGGGCGAGGCTGGGAGCTGCAGACGGAGGGTGAGGCAGGGAGCTGCAGACGGAGGGTGAGGCTGGGAGCTGCAGACAGAGGGCGAGGCTGGGAGCTGCGGACAGAGGGCGAGGCTGGGGGCTGCAGACATCGGGCGAGGCTGGGGGCTGCAGACAGACAGACGGAGGGCGAGGCTGGGGGCTGCAGACATAGGGCGAGGCTGGGAGCTGCAGACGGAGGGCGAGGCTGGGAGCTGCAGACGGAGGGTGAGGCAGGGAGCTGCATACGGAGGGTGAGGCTGGGAGCTGCAGACAGAGGGTGAGGCTGGGAGCTGCAGACGGAGGGTGAGGCTGGGAGCTGCAGACAGAGGGTGAGGCTGGGAGCTGCAGACAGAGGGTGAGGCTGGGAGCTGCAGACAGAGGGTGAGGCAGGGGGCTGCTGACAGAAGGCGAGGCTGGGAGCTGCAGACGGAGGGCGAGGCTGGGAGCTGCAGACAGACAGACGGAGAGCGAGGCTGGGGGCTGCAGACGGAGGGTGAGGCAGGGGGCTGCAGACAGAGGGCGAGGCTGGGGGCTGCTGACGGAGGGTGAGGCTGGGGTGGGGCTGCTGACAGAGGGCGGGGCTGGGAGCTGCAGACAGAGGGCGAGGCTGGGAGCTGCAGACAGAGGGCGAGGCTGGGAGCTGCAGACGGAGGGCGAGGCTGGAAGCTGCAGACGGAGGACGAGGCTGGGGCTGCAGACGGGGGGCGAGGCTGGGGCTGCTGACGGAGGGCAAAGCTGAGGGCTGCAGAAAGACGTAGAGCGAGGCCGGGGCTGGGCGCTACCGTGCTGACCACGGGCGTCGTGGCAGCGCGGATGCAGGGGGTGGCTGCAACAGGTTTTGGCGGTGCGTCAGTACGCATGGCTCTGTGATGGTGTCTAACGAACTCGTGACTCGGTATTTCATTGTTTTTCCAACATGGAAAATCAGGCAAAACCGTGTCTTGAGTCACAGTTGGTTTTTCGTACATGACAAAGTTGTACGGTGACACTTGACGCAAGCCTGCTGTCTTGATGGAGTGTGCCGTTTCAGCGAACTGTGATCTCAATGAAAGGCTGTGGTGTCACGATGGTGTGATCGACGCGGAGTTCGTCAGCTCTGCGAGCCCAGATCGCCGTTTGACCCCGCTCGGTCCGCTCTGGCAGCCGTTTGTCAAGGCGCCGCAGCACTTCGCCGAGTTCTTCCACCAAGTAACCACCACCTGTCTGGAGCGCGTGTCGTTCCGGGAGATGACGGCGCTGCTGGTCTTCCTCGACTACTGCTTCAACAGCATGGAGGTGGAGCTGGTGCGCGCCCAGGTGCAGCGGCTCGTCTCGCTGCCCATGTGGATTTGCCTGCTCGAGGTGTGTATCACTGCTCCAGCGGGCACGCCAGGCGCCGCGTTCACGCAGAACCGGCCGGCCGCAGAGCCGGTGCCGTGTTCGGTCGGGTGTCGATTGTGAAAGAAGTGGTGTATGCTCATGGTTTGGTTGCACTGTAGAACAGAGTTGGCCTTGTGTTACCAATTCCCAGCCTAACAGCCTTATCCCAACTACCATGGGTTCCATTTGGGTCGAAACTCGGAGCAGCGTGTTCTTATGTGGTGCACGTGCGGGTAAGGAACAGATGATGCCGCGCGTCTCCGCCATATAGCAAGCATGGATATTGTCCCATTTGCTTTGGTGTTCAATATGCGCACCGTTTTGCAGAAGCGGCGCGAGGCCGAACTGCGGCGCATCCCCAAATGGAGGAAGTTCTGGAAAATCCTCCAGAAGAAGGATGCCCAGCTGGACGAAAAGGAGAAGACCAAGCTGGACTTTCAGCGGAGGTTTCTGTACAATCTGATCCAGAAGTTTCTGAAGATATTGGAGAGTACGCCCGACGAAGGTATGTCGGGCCCTGGGCAAACACAGCAGCTTCCAGTGCACCACGAAGGTTTGAGCGCTTTACGACAGCGGCTCACGTGACGCGAAGACAGCCGCAGCACGGAAATGGCGCGCGATTGGTCGCTCCGCTTGCGCTGTCACACATTGTGGGCCTTCGTGTTTGGACAGAGTTGTATCTGAGGTTAAGGCTCCGCAACTGCGCAGCTCAAATATTGTGGGGTCGGGACGCGCAGGTGAAAAGTGGGGATTCTGAAAGTGTTAAAAATATGTCGCATTCACTATATACGCCTCAAATTGCATGCGTCATTGCAGGCGACAGCTGTCACCCGAAATCGCGTTAGTTCTCAAACTAGCATGGTGTGGCAGCTGACATCAATAGGAGTGGAAAACGTCAGAGCGAAGGACTGAAGAACAGATCCCGCCCGTGGCATGACGTGGCTGTGTGTCTGTACGGGCCGAATGACGGAGAACAGATCCCGCCCGTGACATGACGTGGCTGTGTGTCTGTACGGGCCGAATGACGGAGAACAGATCCCGCCCGTGACATGACGTGGCTGTGTGTCTATACCGGCCGAGTAACGTCAGCGCTGACCTGGACCGCCGGCGGCAGGCTACGTGGACCGGCGGCGCGTGGCCTACTGCGAACAAATGGTGCAGCTGATGATCGACCTGGAGGCATTGTTGCCAACGCGCCGCTTCTTCAACACGCTGCTGGACGACGCGCACCTAGTGGTGCGCTGCCGGCTGTCGGGCCTGGCCGAGCGCGAGGAGGGCAAGCTGTTCGTGCAGGTGGGTCGCCGCCTCGGGCCCAGGCAGGGCGGCTCGGCCCGCCGGGCTCAGAGCAGGGCCGCCGTTTGGGAACGGCACGTCTGCGAGATTGCGCTTACCTTACCTGACGTCATTAATTGTGTATGTGTGTGTCGTTACCTGAATTGACTAGGAACCATAGCTGGTGAACCTAAACCCCACTGAAGTGATGGGAGCCCAGTATGTGTATGCTAGATTTGATGGCGTTTAGCAGCGTATGGTGAGTGTGGTAGCGTTAGGCTGTCGCGATGGTTGAGCGTCCGTCACCCGTGGTTTCAGCTGCTGGACATGCTGGCGTTCTACTCCCGGTTCGAGATCAACGATCAGACGGGCGACCCGCTGTCGGACCGCGACATGATGCAGCTCCACTACAGCCGCATCACTTCCCTGCAGGTGAGCGCCGCCCCCGCCGCCGCCTCCAGGCGAGCCGGAAGCTCGGGGCTGCTCTAGATCAACCGGGCGGCAGCGGCTTTGTTTCCTCATCGGCGCTGAGATGGGGCCGTGCAAGGTCACAGTCTATGCTGGTCAGGTGCGACCAAGCACCGGCTACCGATCCGAACCGATCCAATAGTTTCTGTTGTCAGAGGTATTGAAGTTAATTATCTGTCATTAATATAGTTAGTTCCTTGTACTATCCCTGGGCGTGCGAGATGTTACCTACAATCATTCAGAACACATGAGTGGACGGTTGCTTCAGATGCGGCGATGTTTGCAGGCGTGCTTGTTGATTGCGTGTCTGGCTGTGCTATTGAATGTGGCCCTTGTGGGCTTGCGTGCCGCGTCCCAGCCGTCGGTGACACGGCGTGGCGCTTACCGCCACGTGCCGCTCCCACCAGGTGGCGTCCTTCTCCAGCTGACCGCCGCGTGCCGCCCCCACCAGGTGGCGTCCTTCTCCAGCTGACCGCCACGTGCCGCGCCCACCAGGTGGCGTCCTTCTCCAGCTGACCGCCACGTGCCGCCCCCACCAGGTGGCGTCCTTCTCCAGCTGACCGCCACGTGCCGCCCCCACCAGGTGGCGTCCTTCTCCAGCTGACCGCCTCCTGTCGCCCCCACCAGGTGGCGTCCTTCTCCAGCTGACCGCCACGTGCCGCCCCCACCAGGTGGCGTCCTTCTCCAGCTGACCGCCACGTGTCGCCCCCACCAGGTGGCGTCCTTCTCCAGCTGACCGCCTCCTGTCGCCCCCACCAGGTGGCGTCCTTCTCCAGCTGACCGCCTCCTGTCGCCCCCACCAGGTGGCGTCCTTCTCCAGCTGACCGCCACGTGCCGCCCCCACCAGGTGGCGTCCTTCTCTAGCTGACCGCCTCCTGTCGCCCCCACCAGGTGGCGTCCTTCTCCAGCTGACCGCCTCCTGTCGCCCCCACCAGGTGGCGTCCTTCTCCAGCTGACCGCCTCCTGTCGCCCCCACCAGGTGGCGTCCTTCTCCAGCTGACCGCCTCCTGTCGCCCCCACCAGGTGGCGTCCTTCTCCAGCTGACCGCCTCCTGTCGCCCCCACCAGGTGGCGTCCTTCTCCAGCTGACCGCCACGTGCCGCCCCCACCAGGTGGCGTCCTTCTCCAGCTGACCGCCACGTGCCGCCCCCACCAGGTGGCGTCCTTCTCTAGCTGACCGCCACGTGCCGCCCCCACCAGGTGGCGTCCTTCTCTAGCTGACCGCCACGTGCCGCCCCCACCAGGTGGCGTCCTTCTCTAGCTGACCGCCACGTGCCGCCCCCACCAGGTGGCGTCCTTCTCTAGCTGACCGCCTCCTGTCGCCCCCACCAGGTGGCGTCCTTCTCCAGCTGACCGCCACGTGCCGCCCCCACCAGGTGGCGTCCTTCTCCAGCTGACCGCCACGTGCCGCCCCCACCAGGTGGCGTCCTTCTCTAGCTGACCGCCACGTGTCGCCCCCACCAGGTGGCGTCCTTCTCCAGCTGACCGCCACGTGCCGCCCCCACCAGGTGGCGTCCTTCTCCAGCTGACCACCACGTGCCGCCCCCACCAGGTGGCGTCCTTCTCTAGCTGACCGCCACGTGCCGCCCCCACCAGGTGGCGTCCTTCTCTAGCTGACCGCCACGTGCCGCCCCCACCAGGTGGCGTCCTTCTCCAGCTGACCGCCACGTGCCGCCCCCACCAGGTGGCGTCCTTCTCTAGCTGACCGCCACGTGCCGCCCCCACCAGGTGGCGTCCTTCTCCAGCTGACCGCCACGTGCCGCCCCCACCAGGTGGCGTCCTTCTCTAGCTGACCGCCACGTGCCGCCCCCACCAGGTGGCGTCCTTCTCCAGCTGACCGCCACGTGCCGCCCCCACCAGGTGGCGTCCTTCTCTAGCTGACCGCCACGTGCCGCCCCCACCAGGTGGCGTCCTTCTCCAGCTGACCGCCACGTGCCGCCCCCACCAGGTGGCGTCCTTCTCTAGCTGACCGCCACGTGCCGCCCCCACCAGGTGGCGTCCTTCTCCAGCTGACCGCCACGTGCCGCGCCCACCAGGTGGCGTCCTTCTCCAGCTGACCGCCACGTGCCGCCCCCACCAGGTGGCGTCCTTCTCCAGCTGACCGCCGCCTGTCGCCCCCACCAGGTGGCGTCCTTCTCCAGCTGACCGCCGCCTGTCGCCCCCACCAGGTGGCGTCCTTCTCTAAGTTCCCGGGGCTGCGTCAGTTCAGTCTCTCCAACGTGGCATCGGTGGACACGCGCGAGCAGCTGACCAAACAGTTCGGCGGGCTGACCAACCGGCAGCTGCACGAGGTGGCGGCGTTCCTGGCGCTGCTGCCCGACCCGCCGGCCCAGGCGGACGCCGAGAAGCCACAGTACGAGACGGAATTGCTGCTGGAGATGCTGGTGAGCGTGCCGCCGCTGCCGCACACGCAGTGGTGTACAGAAGGGCGGAACGGCGTGCTGTCGAGGACAAGGGGGAGGGGGGACACTGGCACGAGGGAGCGTGAACGCACTTAAACACAAATCGCACGCGCTTGAGCTATGGACGTGAGGTGCGTCACGCAAAGTGAGATCAGAATTAAGAGGCCGGTTGCAGCGCAGCAGTAATCCTAATCGCTTTGCATTTTGCTCTCATTGAGCACGATCTGCAGCATGGCTCGGTGCTCGCGGCTGGTTGGCTCCTTCATGCAATGGTTGGTTCCCTGGCGTCTGATCAGCCGTGAACCGTCCGTGACAGAGCGCCAGCGTCGCATGGTCTGGGCGCGGCGTGCCGGTGACCCCGGTCTGTGGGGCGCCCCCGGTCCTGCCGTGCTCTCCCCTGATCGGGCGGTGCCTCCGACGGCCAGGTCTCCCGCCACGAGCGGCGTACCTCGCAGCTGCAGGCGCTCAACGAGATGCCACTGTACCCGACCGAGGCCATCATCTGGGACAGCAACGTGGTGCCGAGCGAGTACTTCTCGGGCGAAGGCTGCCTGGCGCTGCCCAAGCTCAATCTGCAGTTCCTCACACTGCACGACTACCTGCTCCGCAACTTCAACCTGTTTCGGCTGGAATCAACATGTGAGTGAGGGGCTGGCAGGCATGGCGCAGACCCGCTGTCTGGCTGGCAGGTGTGGTGCAGACCCATCGTCTGGCCGGAGGGTGTGGCGCAGACACGCTGCCTGGCCGGCGGGGGTGGCGCAGACCCGGGCTGACCGGTGGATGTGGCGTAGACCCACTGTTTGGCTGGTGGGTGTGGCGTAGACCCGCTGTCTGGCCGGCGGGTGTGGCGCAAACCCGCTGTCTGGCCGGTGGGTGTGGCGCAGGCCCGCTGTCTGGCCGGCGGGTGTGGTGCAGACCCATTGTCTGGCCGGAGGGTGTGGCGCAGACCCGCTGTCTGGCCGGCGGGTGTGGCGTAGACCCGCTGTCTGACCGGTGGGTGTGGCGCAGACCCGCCGTTTGACCGGTGGGTGTGGCGCAGACCCGCTGTCTGGCCGGCGGGTGTGGTGCAGACTCGCTGTCTGACCGGTGGGTGTGGCGCAGACCCGCCGTCTGTCCGGCGGGCAGGCATGGCTCGGACGAATCAGAGAGCTGTGACTTAGCTATGTACAAAAAGAAACACATTGCATGAAACGAGTGGTCCAGCCGTGGGGAGCTCTGGACGACTGAGCTCTTACGAGTCGGGGGGCCCGAAAGTACAAACTGTCAACGGAGTGATCGCATCTGGCGGTTCACTAGGCACATATTGTCCTGTTCGATGTGACCATCTGTGTGCAGTATATGTTACCTGGGATGACTATCTGAGAGCAATTTCATTGACATTTGGTATGCCGTCATTAAACTGATGTCGTGTCAAGACCACATGAATAATTCCTTTAAGGTGAATGGTTTGCTGTTTTCCTTTCGCCCGTTACTTATGAAAACTGTTTTCTGTCAAAGGATGACCCCCATGAGCTGTCCAGCTCCCCCTCCCATAACTGGTGCTTTGTCGTGAACTGAGATGTGGATATTTGCTCGGTCGTACCACTTCAGTGTTGGACCATATATCTAGGCCCTTTGTCTCTGGCTTCTCAGCTTGTTAGGATTGTCCAGGAATCTGTCCATCCAGCGGACCGTCAGCGGTGATCTACACGGGCTCCTGACCTGACCTGACCCCCCGGGTTCCGCGGCAGACGAGATACGGCAGGACATCGAGGACATCGTGCTGCGGCTCCAGCCATGGAAGGACGAGATCGGGGACACCATGTTCGGCGGCTGGGCGCGCATGGCGCAGCCTGTCGTCAGCTTCGCCATCGTGGAGGTGAGCGGGCGCGAGTGGTGACCTGGTGACCCCGCCACTGGCGGGCCGCGTCACAGGATAGCCCAACTGTGGCGTGGCGTGCCTGCAGTCGGGGCTGGGGTGTGACGTGCCTGCAGTCGGAGATGTGGTGTGACGTGCCTGCAGTCGGGGCTGTGGTGTGACGTGCCTGCAGTCGGAGATGTGGTGTGTCGTCTCTCCAGTCGGAGATGTGGTGTGACGTCCCTGCAGTCTGGGCTGTGGTGTGACGTCCCTGCAGCCGGAGATGTGGCGTGACGTCCCTGCAGCTGGGGCTGTGGTGCGACGTCCCTGCAGCCGGAGATGTGGTGTGACGTCCCTGCAGTCGGGACTGTGGTGTGACGTCCCTGCAGCCGGAGATGTGGTGTGACGTCCCTGCAGTCTGGGCTGTGGTGTGACGTCCCTGCAGCCGGAGATGTGGTGTGACGTCCCTGCAGTCGGGACTGTGGTGTGACGTCCCTGCAGCCGGAGATGTGGTGTGACGTCCCTGCAGCTGGGGCTGTGGTGTGACGTCCCTGCAGTCCGTCAGTAGAGCCCCGAGAGGGCGGTCAGCAGTCGAGTGCTGGGTGGGCCGACCAGTGGCATCCCTCAGGGCTGCCCACCACACCGGAAAGCGAGACCGAGCTATGTGTAAGAATGACAACCTTTGGCTTTCTTCAAAAAGTATTTGTATCATCAGAACGTTTGATTCATCCATGTAACGGTGTCTCTGGTAACCACAGTATCCCCGTGAAGGGGAAGGAGAGGATCGCAACACACCTCTCCCCCTATCCCCCAACATAGCCTCGGCTAGCCTGTACAACTCCGCAAGTGCGCAGGTTCTTTGATTTTTGCTGTTGTTTTTTGGTGGTGTGTTTAGGATGTCATCATCTTGTTTGAATGCCCTCCCATCGCTTTATACTGATCTTCAGAAAGACTACTTCACTTGACTGTGTTGCTTTGGACCGCTGCCTTCCTCCTGTCCTAGTACCGTTTGCAGCCCCTCCCCCGCCCCCGCTGTCAGGTCCGTGTAAAGCCAGCGCTGTTTTCGGCGCGCACCGCCAGGTGGCTAAGCCCAACATCGGCGAGCGGCGGCCGGCGCGCGTACGGGCCGACGTCACGGTCAATCTGAGCGTACGCCACGAGGTGAAGGCCGAATGGGAGGGCCTGCGCAAGCACGACGTCTGCTTCCTGGTGACGGTGCGACCTCAGCTGACGTTCGGTGAGACGCGCAGCGGGACGGCGCCGACCGCCAGCCGCGGCGGTACTGGGTAGTGGCCGTTCCGCCTGCAGTATTCAGGCGGCGCGTCGTTATGGGGGGCGGCGGCCGGCTCTGGCTTGGCCGGCGTGGGCTGTGGCCGGGCCGCTGGTGACCGAAGCCGGCGCCTGCCGGCTTACACAGTATCGTGGTGCTGTTGAACTGTGAAGTGACCGGGGCATAGTGCGCATCACACCGCTTCGGGGTGTGACGTCACCATTGCTTGTGGGAGGCTGTGTGAAAATTATGTCCACGGTGCTTCACTTTGCATTTTAAACACAGGAACTCGTACACATTTTACAATGTTATCCGGTCAGACGTCAGCGCTAGACTTAAGCCTCTCTATTCCCCAGCTTGTCCAACATCTCGAGTGGAGTGTCGGAGATGACCCCATGGGAAGTGACCACTTCCCAGTGTGGGTCCGGTTTAACAGAGGTGGAGCGTTGAGTTTAGACCACAACGCTGGAATTTTAAGAAAGTGGGCCGGTGCGAATTCGAGAATCGGCTCTAAGAATCGTTTGTAACTGGGCCTGAGAGCGCGCCACCCTCCATTGAGGGTTTTACTCACAGACTTTTAGAGTGTGCCAACAGTTGTATCCCACGCACGTCTGGCGCTCCGCGACGTACTCCTGTTCCGTGGTGGACGGAGGAATGTCGGAGCTCCATCCGGGTGCGTAAGCGTGCGTTTCGGGCTTTTGACGCCAGGAGCAGTGTAGAAAACCTGATAGCCTTTAAGAAAGCGAGAGCTTTTGCCCGGCGCACTAAGGGAGGCAAAGCGTGCTTCCTGACGGGCGCACGTGAGCACGCTAAACCGATTTACGCCGACATCGCAGATTTGGGCCTGAGCCAAGCGTATTTCGGGTCAGTTCTCACCCATAGCTCTGCCGATGCTGCGTGTTAATGGCCAGGCTGTGACGCGCCCGTTGGATTTTGCGAATGAGGTTGCCCGGGCCCTGGTCCAACGCAGCGTAAGTGGTAACACAAACACACAGTTGTGCGGCATAGAATGCGATGTGAGCAATCTGCAGTGGATTTTTCAACGAGTGAGCTGCATTCATATAATGACCCTTTCACGCTGGTCGAGTTGGAATCGGCGATCGCTAGGCTTCGCAGCGTGTCAGAAGGCCCGGACACTGGTCACAACGATATGCTTAAACATCTGCCGCGTCGCGTGCTTCGCGTATTAGTGGTCTTTAATTCGCTTTGGACCAGAGGTGAATTCCCAGCTTCTTGGCGAGAAGCTACTCTCGTGCCTCTCTTGAAGCCGGGAAAAGGTGGGCTAGATCCTTTACATTATAGACCCATTTCTCTTACGTCATCGCACTGTAAGTTGATGGAGAATATGCTTAATGTCCGTTTAACCTGGTTTTTGGAGCATCACGTCATTTTACAAACGCACTGTGGTTTTAGAAAGAATCGCAGCACGGCGGATAATCTTTTAGTTCTTCACACTGCGATTCGTGAGGGATTTGAGGCAAATCGACACACTGGCGCTGTCTTCTTATACATAGAGGGCGCCCATGATACCACATGGCGTCATGGTATTCTTGTCAAGCTATATAGGTATGGTATACGCGGCAATATGGGCACTTTTCTTCAAAACTTTTGAGTTGACCGTTATTTCCGTGTCCGTGTTGGGAGCGCGCTCGCTGAGAGGCACCATCAAGTCAATGGTGTGCCCCAGGGCGGTGTCCTGAGCGTGTCACTGTTCACGGTTATGATACGACATCGGGGTTGAACTGCCACAGTCTGTAGGTCGTACCCTTTTTGTTGATGATTTTACCATCTGGACTAGCGCAGCAAGAGCTTCATCGATGGAGCGGCGTCTTCAGTTGGCTGTGGATCGTATCGAGAAGTGGGGCACGATAAACGGGCTCAGGTTTTCTAGCAACAAGACTGTAGCCCTGCATTTTTGTCGTAGTCGGCAATGCGGCAATATGTCTATCCGTCTGTGTGGCCAACACATTCCAACTGAGCCTGTAGCTAGATACCTTTGGGTATACCTTGACCGCCGACTAACCCGTCAAGTCCATCCTGAAACGCTACGCGAAAGCTGTTTTAAATTTTTGAACATACTAAAGTACGTTTCACGCACATCGTATGGGGCAGATAAAAGTACGCTTTTGCTATTGTATCGCTCAATCATACGTTGTAAGGTGGACTGCGCATGTTTTATTTATGACAGCGCGTGTGAGTCCACCAAGCGCATCCTGGACACTGTCCATCACACCGCTTTACGTGTAATCACAGGGGCGCTTCGCACATCACCTGCGACAGTTCCCCTCGCGTCCGGCATTTAACGCAGTTTTTCACGGCCTGCTGTGGATTTTCGTCGCAGTGTACCTCGGGTACATGCTGTAACCTTTGGCCTCCGAATGCAAGCCTTGCGGCGGAAAGCGAAATTCCCATTCGAAGGTTGAAGCGGATAAATCATCTGTCCACTGCTCCCTGGCGTTTGACCTCGCCATCGATAGATACGTCTTTGGCCGAAATGAAAAATAATGCGGTCTTGTCAGATATAATGAGATCAAGGGCACTTGAGCGTGTGGCGTTATGTGACGATTACACACTTACTTACACGGACGGATCTAAAGCCTCTGGCGGTGTGGATTGTGCGTTTGTGAGCGGCGGCGTCATCCGGTCGTTTCCTTTGCCTCCACAAACGTCAGTGTTCACATCGTAGTTGGTAGCGATCACCAAGGCGTTGTGTTTCATTGAAGTCAGTGACGAACCTTCACATCTGATTTTGACAAACTCTTTGAGCAGTGTTCTTAGTCTGAAGTCTTTTTATCCATCGTATCCCCTTGTACAGGATATTTTAGGACGTCTGACTCAACTGAATCAGGCCCGAAAGAAACCCATCTTGTGTTGGATCCCCAGTCACGTTTGAATCGCCGGCAACGAGGTGGCTGGTGCGGCTGCAAGGCGAGCAGCGCTGGCTCCATGTGTTCGTTCTCTTTCTATCCCTGCTACAGATTATTACCATGCAATAAAAACCTTTCTGCAAAACTAATGACAGCGTTGCTGGGATGGGACAAACAAAGATAAGCTCAGAGCAATAAAACCCAAGCTGGCTCAGTGGTTATCATGTTCCCACAATGTCAGGTAAGAAGAGGTGGTGCTCTGCAGATTACGTATTGGGCACACGTATGCAACTCGCGGTTATTTGTCGCAAGGAGCAGAAAGACCTATCTGCCATCGATGTTGTGCTGTTCTCACCGTTCGTCATGTGCTCATATCATGTCCGCGGCTCGTGGAAGAACGTCGACGTTATTTTGGTCAGCGTGACTCGCCCTTGACGCTCTGTGACATTTTAGGAGAAAACTCTCGCTTTCTAGGATCTAAACAAGTCTTTTATTCCTTAAACATATAAACTTCGGGACTCTACACGGTTCATTAGTTAGGTAAAACAAGACTCGTTATGGGCGCCAAATGATCACTGCAGTCGGCGCGCCCAAAAACACCAATAAACAACAACAGAAATGCCACTGACAACGCGGTGCCATCGATTGTTGCTGCAGCATCAAAGCATAATTGGTGACGTCTTCGCTCCACTAACTGCAATTGAACCCAGCCACCTGTCGACAGCTTGCCGGCACGAGTGCAGTCACGTGTTGTGCCACAGTAATCTCCCTTACGTATAGCAAAGTTCCATGTTACCCCTCGGCCGCCTGGCCGGTTATTCACATGACCGTTCGGCACTAACCGCCCGACCGGCCGGCGCCGCTTGATCCCGATACTGTTTGCCTGACCGGCCGATGCTGTCTGACCGATGCGTTGCGCCTGACAGACCGATGCTGCGTGACTGTTGTCCGCCCGACGGGCCGATGCCGTCTAACCGATACTGTCCGCCTGATTGACGGTGACCCGGTGCGGCAGGTGCCCGCTACGACGCGGCGGCGCCGTTCGTGCCCCAGGTGGGGCTCACGTACGTGCGCGGCTGCGAGGTGGAAGGCATGCTGGACGAGAGCGGCCGCGTCATCGAGGAGGGGCCCGACCCGCGCCCCCAGCTGCCGGGAGACCGGCGCACGTTCCGTGTCTGGCTCGACTGCAACCAGTACCGCCAGGACCTGGACAACAACGCCGCCGGCAAGGAGGTCAGCCAGGCTCGTAATGATTGGCGACAGCTAGACGGTCTTAAGTACGGGTAGGCGTCCGAGGTCTCGAGCGGCGTCAGCTGGGCGGTCTTGGGCGGCGGAGGCGCCCAATGTCACGCAAAAAAAACAGCGGTTGATATCAGGTGGCAAGACCCTTGTGCCAGTCATGTGACGGCTCGTAGCATGCCTGCAAGCGTGGTCAGTGAATCTGCAACTTTTGCATGAGTGACTGGATTGGATTGGTGGATTAAGTGTGCAGGGCTGTTCGGTTTGTTCGAAGCTGATAAGCTGCGTTGGCTTTACTAGTGGTGTGTTCTGTTTTGCAGTTAGTTCGGCGTTCGTTACGCATCAAACGCGTTAGGTCTGCCATTCTGTTTGTGTTGGCCGGCCGGCTGCCACACGCCAGGGTCTGTTCCACTGCTGTGCACCAGCCGGCCCGGTTTCAGACCGCCTCGGGCCGTTTTCAAACAGTGCTTTCGTCGGGATGTCCAGCTAACGCAGAAGTCACCCATATAAACCCGCTGATATCTGGCTCAGGACGTGTACGAGACGTTCAACATTATCATGCGCCGCAAGCCGAAGGAAAACAACTTCAAAGCGGTGCTGGAGACGATCCGGGATCTGATGAATAACGAGTGCGTGGTGCCTGACTGGCTGCACGACATCGTGCTTGGCTACGGAGACCCGGGCGCTGCCCACTACACCAAGTGAGTGGTGTCGGGCCCGGTCCACGGGGCCGGGGCACCTCCATCCCGCCCGCCGGAGGGGAGGCAGCGTCCTCGGCTGGGACCGGGTGTTGGCTGGGCGTCGGGCCCGCGACAGGCCGCATGGAGATAACCGGCAGCCGTAATGAAACGCGTATGGAAGCTGTAGTGGCGTAGCGTGGATATTGGATTCCTTTTCCCCGGGGCTTTTGTGTGTTATCTGGCGTGCCCCGCTTGACGTGTGCAAGAGCATGTCATGTCGTCCACAGGCTGTGCCGTCTGGTGAGTGTGCCCCGTACTTGGTAAATCTGTCTAATAAAACTAACAGCCTGGCCGTGTCGAGTTTTATCATTAATGTTTTGCTTGCCAGTGATCGACTGGGGCCGGAACGCGTCCGCCTCCACAGTGGAGCCCTGACCCCGGTCCGGCTGAGCCCTGACCCCCGGTCCGGCCGAACCGTGACCCCCGGTCCGGCCGAGTCCTGACCCCCGGTCCGGCTGAGCCCTGACCCCGGTCCGGCTGAGCCCTGATCCCCGGTCCGGCCTAGCCGTGACCCCCGCTCCGGTAGAGCTTTGATCCCCTGTCCAACTGAGCCCTGACTCCCGATGCGGCCGAGCCGTGAACCCCGGTCCGGCCGAGCCCTGACCCCCCGTCCGGCCGAGCCCTGACCCCCCGTCCGGCCGAGCCGTGACCCCCGGTCCGACCGAGCCGTGACCCCGGTCCAACCGAGCCGTGACCCCGGTCCGGCCGAGCCCTGACCCCGGATCCGCCCCGCAGAATGCCGGATGAGATCGCCACGCTGGACTGGAATGATACGTTCCTGGACATGGAGCACCTGCGGCACAGCTTCCCCCACCACACGGTGCAGCTGAAGGAAGGCGCTGGTGCCGGCGCCGCCAAGCCACGGCCGCCCTACAGGTAAGGTCCGGCCGCGGCCGCCCTGACGGTCCCGCTCTGCTGTGTCTCGCTCTGTCGGCTCCCGCTCAGTCATTACCGCCACCGTCCGCTGATGGTGATGATTGTCCCGCCCACTGATGGTGATGACTGTCCCGTCCGCTGATGGTGATGACTGTCCCGTCCGCTGATGGTGATGACTGTCCCGTCCGCTGATGGTGATGACTGTCCCTCCCGCTGATGGTGATGACTGTCCCTCCCGCTGATGGTGATGACTGTCCCTCCCGCTGATGGTGATAACTGTCCCGTCGGCTGATGGTGATGGCTGTTCCGTCCGCTGATGGTGATGACTGTTCCGTCCGCTGATGGTGATGACTGTCTCGTCCGCTGATGGTGATGACTGTCCCGTCCGCTGATGGTGATGACTGTCCCCTCCGCTGATGATGATGACTGTCCCGTCCGCTGATGGTGATGACTGTCCCGTCCGCTGATGGTGATGACTGTCCCCTCCGCTGATGATGATGACTGTCCCGTCCACTGATGATGATGACTGTCCCCTCCGCTGACGGCCGCCGTTCGGCCGCAGGCTGACGTTTGTCGGTGTGGAGGAGAAGAAGAGCCGGCCGGACGCCGCGCCGGAGGAGCTCTCCAAGCTGGTGCTGGTCGAGCCGCACGTCATGCCCAACAGAGGACCGTACCCCTACGTCCAGCCCAAACGGTACGGCGCCGGCCGGCTGCCCGATCTGGTCTGGTCGTTACGGGTGCGGAATTTACGTACTGAGCTCGCCGGTGGACATTTTTGTTTTACCGTTGCATGTTTTTGTTATTTATTTCCCTGAGTATGTTTCAGTATAATTTAAAGAATATCTTCTTGGTTCATTCGATATATGTTATATATATATATATATATATATATATATATATATATATATATATATGTCTGTAAGTATCTGTGTGTGTGTGTTTGCGCGTGCGTGTGCTTGTGCTTGTGCTTGTGCTTGTGCTCGTGCGTGTGCGCGTGCGTGTGCGCGTATGTGTGTGTTTTTAAAATTATTTCCAGGTTTTTGATCAATGGACCACATTAGTTCGAATCATGTTTTTTGGTCCTGACTCGACATGACCTGATCTGACCTGTCCTGCCCTGACCTGTGCCCAGGAACACGGTGCGATTCACGCCGACGCAGGTGGAGGCGATCCGGGCCGGCACGCAGCCGGGCCTCACGCTGGTGGTCGGCCCGCCCGGCACCGGCAAGACGGACGTGGCCGTCCAGATCATTTCCAACATCTACCACAACTTCCCCGAACAGCGTACGCTCATCGTCACGCACAGCAACCAGGCGCTCAACCAGCTGTTCGAGAAGATCATGGCACTGGACATGGACGAGCGCCACCTGCTGCGACTGGGCCACGGCGAGGAGGCGCTCGAGACCGAGAAGGACTTCAGCAGGTGCGTGTGCGGGCGGCGCACGAGCCCGAGGCGTGGCGTTAAGGCCGTGTAGGACACCGGCCTCAGTTTCACTGCTGTTTACCATTTGCCTTCCGCACATTGAGGTGAGCATCCGCTGTTCGTCCCCCTGTAGCTCGGAGCCACCGCATGGCTGGGACAGCTCAGGTGCGCTGCGTCACGCTGCTCATGCTGTCCTGTAGCTCGGAGCCACCGCATAGCTGGGGCAGCTCGCTACGCGCGCTGCGTCACGCCGTTCACGCTTCCACGGGCGGCCGGTACGCGTCGCCAGAATGCTGCCGGACCCCGCCAGTTTTTATTTCATGACCAGTCTGGCCTTGACCGTTTCCCAGTATCTGACACAATTTCACGGTAGGCCGTAATGAGAGGCCTGCTTGGAATTTCGTGGAAGTCGTTGGTTGATGACGTCCGGTCCAGTATTTAAGGGCTGAGTCAGAAGGCAGCAGCAGAAGGCCAATCATTCGACGTACAAAGAATGAACCCATGATTTCCCCTGAGATCCGTGCCGAGACAACTATTGGTCTTAATGAACTTGCATGGCATGGGGACGGCTGCGTCAAGGCCCATGTTTTGGCTTGCCGGCGACATAACGATATCATTTCTGGCACACCCATTGCTTGCTGCAGCTCGAAGGAACGTCGCATCTGCAGTCCAATCTTAGCAACACTATCGACTTGCATGGGTTGTGAAAGGGTGCTTTCAACACGACAAAACTGTGCAAAATACTTTTCCAGATGTAGTCTGAACCTTTTGAATGAATGTGTTTCTTGGATGAAAGCCAACGCTAGATGGCGCCGGCTTTGTGAGCCCTGTCCCCGCCATCCGATCGCAAGATCCCAGGCCAGCGTCAGGATTTAGAGGAGCAATTCAAACGTGTTGCAGTGCTCGGTCAGGTCGTCCCCTATGAACTCACCTGACCGTAACCACGGGCGCTGCCACTGGCCGCAGGCAATACCAATTAAGGGCAAATGCCAGGCGCATGAAGCGCCACCCCGCCAAGGGTGGGCGGATCAGAAGGCAGTCGCTCCAACCAACTGACCTATTAAGCGGGGCAAACGGATCTATTGAGACGGACGCTCTCTGATAAAGCAGCAAGCCAACTACTTGATTAAACTAAACATTGGAGGATGGTTAGCCAAAATTGTTTCTAGATTGTATGACAAAACCATTAAGCTACCTACAAGTGATCATGTTTTAATGAATGTCTTAGTCACAACAAATTGTCTCTTTCTGTTTTCTTCCGTTTTGCAGAAAAATTCGTGTCCCGTGCTACTGATGATCATCTTAAATAACTTCTGCCGTAATACACCAATGTCCCGATGTCTGTTCTTCAGGAGATCCTGGATCCATCCTTGGGATCCAGGCATATGTTTGGTTATCTAAACAGAAGTGCTTAGAAATGTAACCGCAAAGTACTTTGAGGTGGAATAGCCAATGGCATTCATCTCAACGCCCAAAACTTAGCATTCTGACATGCGTTAGGTTCCATTTGATGTCATTGGATCATCACGAAGGTTTCTTCAAATTTGACTGCTTTGAGTTGCCTCAAAGCAGCTGTAGCTGGAGAATTGAAGAACAGCTCGCTTCTTTTGGTATTTCCCAAATCTGCTCAGATGGGGGTTTTACTTTTTACTAAACTGGAAGACACTGTTATCCTGCCAGAATGCCCAGAATTTCCTGTTGCCATCAAGTTAAACACTTACTGAGATGTAATCTGCTCTCAACCCATGAAGTATCTCAGGGGCGCATATTCGCAAAATGAGTTCGAGAGAGAGGGGTGCAGTGAAAATGGCTCAACCTATCCGTAAAATAGCTAGAACGTGGGTGGCCCCGGATTTGGCTTACTTTTTCAAGGCTGGGGAACAGGAGCCCAAGCTGGAGCCGAAGCAAGCAAGCAAGTTGGAGCAAGCTGAAGCCTCCCCTTCCCCCTTCACCGCCCAACTGGATAGAAAACTGCATCCGTGAAGTGTGTAACGTTGCTGTCGCCTTCCAAATGTTATTATTATTGGGGTGAGACGATTCTGGTGGTGTCACGTCCCACCAGTGGCTGCGCTGCCTGCCTTGTTCGGCCGGGACCGGTGCAGGGCGGGCGGACAGTTCTGGTGGTGTCATGTCCCACCAGTGGCTGCGCTGCCTGCCTTGTCCGGCCGGGACCGGTGCAGGGCGGGCGGACAGCCACTGCTGTTGGCCGGTAGATGGCAGAGGCAGAGGTGCATCGGCATGACCATAGGTACCGAATACCGATCCATGCCTTATTCTTCCATCATTGTTGCGCAAATAGCACAGTTTGGTTGAACTGGAACCATGACGTGTACGCGGTGTCGGCCAGGTACGGACGAGTCAACTACGTGCTGTCCCAGCGCCTGGCGCTGCTGGACGCCGTGCAGCGGCTGCAGCAGAGTCTGCAGGTGGTCGGCGATGCCGCCTACACCTGCGAGACGGCCGGGCACTTCTTCATGCAGCACGTGCTGAGCCGCTGGGAGCGCTTCCTTAGCCTGGTGCCGCCGTCGCAGGGAGAGGTGGGTCACGCCGCGCCGTGTCAGGGGGAGGTGGGTCGTGCCGCGCCGTCGCGGGGGGGGGGGGGGCCACGCCGCGCCGCTGCTTTGGTTGCGGCACGACGTGGATTCGCTATGGGGCTTGCAAAGACCGATAATGATGATTGTGCGTTAGGTGTAATATCGTTTCCACAGGTACTGTTTTCCTAAACGAAAAAATACATGAATCATGGTTTGTGTACTCCAAGCAGGTCTATTTGTATTTAGGCCATATGTTTTGACGGCAATAGAATATGTTAACACGCTTTTGTAAAAATATTTACTCAAAACCGTCTCAAAATAAAGGGCCTCAGTTCATGGGTGCTACGGATCCACCCAGTGACATCTCGTAATCCCTCACATCCCCTATACGTAATGTAAATATGCCGCTTGTTTGCATCGCGTGCGTTTCTCTCTGCCTAAGTCAACCCATGGTTCACTATCCGTGGATCGGAGCTGGGCGCCAGGCAGGCGGGTGTGACGACGTCCGTGGTCCCCTCACTGAGCACCCTCACCCCTAGAGTCTGCCCACCAGCAGCATCCGCACCGCAGGCGGGTGTGACGGCGGCCGTGGTCCCCTCACTGAGCACCCTCACCCTCAGTCTGCCCATCAGCAACATCCGCACCGCAGGCGGGTGTGACGACGGCCGTGGTCCCCTCACTGAGCACCCCCACCCTCAGTCTGCCCATCAGCAGCATCCGCACCGCAGGCGGGTGTGACGGCGGCTGTGGTCCCCTCACTGAGCACCCTCACCCTCAGAGTCTGCCCATCAGCAGCATCCGCAACAACTTCCCGTTCACAAGGTTCTTCGAGGACGCGCCGCAGCCCGTCTTCAAGGGCAACTCTTTCGACGAAGACTTCGAGATCGCCCAGGGCTGCTTCAGGTAACTTTGGTACACGAGCTGCCGCGGCGGAACCGCCAGTGCGCCCCAACCTACGATAGGAGACCTCCCCTCGCTTGCTGCCTTCCGTACCGTGTTCTAGTATGTCTGCGATGAGGAGCACAACTCCTGCCGTCCGCCTCGGACATTGGGTTTTCCTTTCCGTCTGTATTGTTGACTTACGCATCGCAATCAGTTATCCCCAAGATATATTCTAAAACCACTGCATTGTTTTGAAGCGCTCGCCTCTTGCTCATGATACATCCTTCATTACTGTGTGGCATTCGATTTCGGTGATGAGGCAGGCTAAGTTTTCAGCTCGCCGTGAGGTTCCACATGCTATAGCAATGGGTCGAGCGTGCATGTGTGTCGCCGGTCGAGCCGTGCCGGGTGCCCTGCGTCATCTGCCGCACCGGCATGACTCAGAGTCATCGATCGAGCCGTGGCGGGTTCTCTGCGCCACCCGTCGCACGGGCATGACTCAGAGTCGCTGGTGAAGCCGTGCCGGATTGCCCTGCGCCATCCGTCGCGCGGGCATGACTCGGAGTCGTGCCTGGCAGGTACATCCGGAAGATATTCGAGCAGCTGGACGAGTTCCGCGCATTCGAGCTGTTGCGCAGCGGGCTGGACCGCTCGCGTTATCTGCTCATCAAGGAGGTCAAGGTGATCGCCATGACGTGTACGCACGCGGCGCTCAAGCGCAAGGAGCTCGTGCAGCTGGGCTTCAAGTACGACAACATCCTGATGGAGGAGTCGGCGCAGATCCTCGAGATTGAGACGTTCATCCCGCTGCTGCTGCAGAACCCTCAGGACGGCTTCAAGTGAGCGGACGGGACGGGGATGGAGACGGGGACGGGGACGGGGACGGGGGACGGGGACGGAACGGGATATATTCGGTCACTTTGGGTCCATTGTGCCTCCATTAGGGGCTGTGTGCGATGATAAAGGGATCTTTGTCAGATTCGTAGTTGGCTGCTTGCCGATCACGTTATTGTGATCAGCTGTGCAACAGCACTGCGATCGCGGTAAAGCTAAAACCAATGTGCTCGTAGCTACCAGGTGATGACCGCCTTTGCAAAGGGAGCACCATTGAGGTGTCCATTTAAGATGATGTAAGTTAAGCCAGTTCCGCCGCGTGCAGATCCCCGACTTTGTCACTCCATATTCTCTGGTCTCATGTTGTCACCATGTTGTCCTGCCCGCCACCAGTCTGTCCCAATCCTCGCGTATCCCCAGTCGCATGTGCGGTGTACTGCTACTAGTCTGAGCTCCGCAACGGCCGATGTGCCCCTGTCCTGCGGCTAGCCGTCTCCAACGGGGGGCTGTCCACCTTGCTGCCCGCGTTCCGTCCGCTGCGTCCCGGCCTTGCGTGCCGTGCGCGCGCCGCCGGTCGCCGGCGCCCGGCTGACATCCGACCCGCGTCTGGCAGCCGACTGAAGCGGTGGATCATGATCGGCGACCACCACCAGCTGCCGCCCGTCATCAAGAACATGGCCTTCCAGAAGTACTCCAACATGGAGCAGTCGCTCTTCACGCGCTTCGTGCGGCTGGGCGTGCCAACCGTGCAGCTGGACGCCCAGGGTCGCGCCCGCTCCAGGTCAGCCTCGCATGGAACGGTCCGTGGTCAGCCTCGCACGGAACGGTCCGTGGTCAGCTTCGCACGGAACGGTCCGTGGTCAGCCACGCACATAACAGTCCGTGGTCAGCCTCGCACGGAACGGTCTGTGGTCAGCCACGCGCGGAACGGTCCGTGGTCAGCCTCGCACGTAACGGTCCATGGTCAGCCTCGCGCGGAACGGTCCGTGGTCAGCCTCGCACGGAACGGTCCGTGGTCAGCCTCGTGCGGAACGGTCCGTGGTCAGCCTCGCACGGAACGGTCCGTGGTCAGCCACACACGAAACGGTCCGTGGTCAGCCTCGCACGGAACGGTCCGTGGTCAGCCACGCGCATAACGGTCCGTGGTCAGCCACACACGAAACGGTCCGTGGTCAGCCTCGCGCGGAACGGTCCGTGGTCAGCCTCGTGCGGAACGGTCGGCAGCGTGACCCAGCAGCTTGGGTCCGGGTGGCGGCTGAGGTGACCATTGTGACCTGACACTGGTGTGCGTTTGCGTGGGCGATTGCGTGCGTGCGTGCGTGCGTGCGTGCGTGCGTGCGTGCGTGCGTGCGTGCGTGCGTGCGTGCGTGCGTGCGTGCGTGCGTGCGTGCGTGCGTGCGTGCGTGCGTGCGTGCGTGCGTGCGTGCGTGCGTGCGTGCGTGCGTGCGTGCGTGCGTGCGTGCGTGTGTGCGTGTGTGCGTGTGTGCGTGTGTGCGTGTGTGTGTGTGTGTGTGTGTGTGTGTGTGTGTGTGTGTGTGTGTGTGTGTGTGTCTGCCAAGCTCTGTTTTTGTGAAGAATTGACAAGCAGTGTGTGCTTAGCAGCTGCACGTGACGCTGAAAGCACGAAGATTACGTCTGTGACCACCTCTTACTTTCATATGGTGTTTCCCACTGCCAGAGGCATTAGTGGGGCATTGTATTTACGGGCTGCAGCATCAGTGGCGTTATCTCCTGGCGATGCCCCCTCCCCCTCGCTGCCTCCGCTGCTCTGCCGTCACCGCCTGGGACCGTCGCGCCCTGTTGCAGCATCTGCGCGCTCTACAAGTGGCGGTACACGGTGCTGGGCGACCTGCCGCACGTCCAGCAACGGGCCGAATACCAGCGCGCCAACGCCGGCTTCCGCTTCGACTACCAGGTGGTCAACGTGGACGACTTCAACGGCGTGGGCGAGAGCGAGCCCAACCCGTACTTCTTCCAGGTGCGGCTGCTGGTGTGGGGTCGGGCGTCGCGCGCTCCCTCCCAGCTCGGCGTGGGGGATACCGCGCCACGGACGGCCAGCGCGGCGGAGCGGCGTCGGCCGGCGTCCCGTGCTGTCTGTTGGCTCTGTATGGATGTGGGGTACTGCGATGGCTACCGGACATGCGCGGCGACCCTCGCTGCCCGCCCCTGCGCGTGCTGCTCTGTCTGCGTGTGTGTGGAGGGGGAGGGGTACCTGACCCGCGCACGCCTGGCTCGGCTCACCATCCGGTCGCCCTCCACCCGGTCACGTCTGTGGTCGGTGACGTCACGGCCACCGTTCTGACGCCGCCATCTTGTCGGCCGTCGACAGAACCTGGCCGAGGCCGAGTATGTGGTGGCCGTGTACATGTACATGCGCCTGCTGGGCTACCCGGCCGACAAGATCTCCATCTTGACCACCTACAACGGCCAGAAGATGCTGATCCGTGACGTCATCAACCAGCGCTGCGCCAACAACCCCGTCATGGGCCAGCCCTGCAAGGTGACGATCGTCCCGTTGACAGAGCATTATTATTACCGTAACAACGGTTGTACCTCCGAAATGTGGGGCTTGCGTGTGCCGTGCGATTGTGCGTAATAATGCACTCGTTTGCAATGCATCATCCTGCGTGAGATTTTGGTACAATCACGCATTTATTGTGACAATTTGCCGCTCGTCGATCTCAGAGTTTCATGATTTCAGTGACGTTTCATCATTCGGGCAGCAAATTTCTTCTTCCATGACATGCTCATAAATGTTTTAGCCAAAAAGGCTTTCTATGTGAAGATCCACGTGGACGGTTGGGCCGACCTGCCTCGTCCGCGGCTGTCTGCGCGCCTCTCTCCCGCCTCCGAGGCTACCGGTGCTTGTCCCTTCCGCGGTTGTTGGCGCGCGCCCCCCCCCCCCCCCGCCTTTCGCGGCCGTCTGCGCTCCTCTCTCCCGCCTTCCGCGGCCGTCTGCGCTCCTCTCTCCCGCCTGTGAGGCTATCGGCGCTTGTCCCTTCCGCGGTTGTTGGCGCGTGGCCCTCCCGCCTTCCGCGGCCGTCTGCGCGTCGGCGGTGTGGCCCGCTCGTTCGAGCTGACGCAGGCCGCGTGTTCGCCACGTAGGTGGACACTGTGGACAAGTACCAGGGCCAGCAGAACGACTACATCCTGCTGTCGCTGGTGCGCACCAAGGCGGTGGGCCACCTGCGAGACGTGCGCCGGCTGGTGGTGGCCATGTCGCGCGCCCGACTCGGCCTCTACGTGTTCGCCCGACTGGCGCTCTTCCAGAACTGCTTCGAGCTGACTCCGGCCTTCAGTCTGGTGAGCTCCGCCCGCTCCTATAGAGGGACGGGGGGGGGGAGGGGGGTCGCGGGCTGTCAGTTCCAGCCGAGCTCTAACCGACGGTTTCGTCTCGCGAACAGGTGGTAGCGCTCGCTATGACGAGGGTATTTGCCGGCAAGCATATGTTTGCAGCTGTCGCGAGCATGGGCCGTGAAAGACGTTAGTGAGCTCAGCTGAGACAACTTGCATTGGCAAACAAAGGCATTGGATATCAAGTTCAGTATTTACATTGGCACAACTTGTAAGCTAGCAAGCAGTGTATTCTTTGCTCCGGACGCTGCGCCTTCTGCAGTGTGCTGTCTGACCATGTGTGCATGCGCAGCTGGCCGAGCGTCCGGCCCAGCTGCAGCTGTGTCCGGCTGAGCGGTACCCGACGGTGCGGCCGGTGGACGCTTCGCTGCAGTCGCCGCCCTTCGTCGCCACCGACATGCCCCACATGGCGCAGTTCGTGTATGACCTCTACATGCAACGCATGGGCTCTGGAGAGGCGCAGCAACAGGTCAGGGTTTCTGGCGGACGTGGGAGGGTATCGACCTTTCAGGGGATAGCAGCGACTCAGGGGGTACTGGTGGACGTGGGAGAGTATCGACTCCTCAGGGGGATATCAACGGGTCAGGGGTACTGGTGGACGTGGGAAGGTATCGACTCCTCAGCTCAGGAGGATAGCAGCACGTCAGGGGTGCCTGGAGGCGCAGGTGGGCGTGTAGACGACTCCCCGTGACACAACAGTAGCGGGTCAAGACTACTTACAGGTGTAGGAGGGTGTGGACTTCTCAAGGGGGAAATAGCGTGTCAGAGTCATGAATACTGGGAGGCGTGGGGATGTGAATCATCAGCAGCAGGTCGGGGCTACAAGGAGATGTGAGGGTGTGTGGAGTCTGAGGGGACAGGCACCGGGGGAGTTCAGAGGATGGAGAGGGAGTGCGACGGCGTGTGCCCGCGTGATCTCTCTCGAATGATCGCCGTGAGGAGTGGCCAGACTGCACGTAGCATGAAGGGCATGGGAGGGCCAGCGGCTGGCTCCTGCGAACCATTGGTAGTAAACGTGCTTGGAAACAGTGACGGCATGTCGTGCCGTACGTGCGCGCCGGCGCACGTGACCGATGGACGGGACGGGACCGGCCTGGCCCTGGTCGGGCGCGCACGTGACCGATGGACGGGACGGACCGGCCCTGGCCCTGGTCGGGCGCGCACGTGACCGATGGACGGGACGGACCGGCCTGGCCCTGGTCGGGCGCGCACGTGACCGATGGACGGGACGGACCGGCCTGGCCCTGGTCGGTCGTCGTCCTAACGAGGCCGTGTCCGTCGCCAGGCGTGGCGCTCGCCGGGCGCGGCGGGCCGGGCGGCGGCGCCGGACCGACACGTACCCCAGCACCCGGGCGGCGACCGGGACAGCAGCGACGACGAGGCACCGTCCGCGGCGGCCGGCCACCAGGCCATGGAAGTCGGTGAAGACGGAGGCGCCGCCGCCGACCAGCCAGCCGGCGTGTGACGTCACGGCCGGGCCGGCCTGGATGTGACCGGGCGAAGGCGGAGGTGTGGCCGCACCCGGCAGTGCCACCGCATCGCAGTATCATCCGCCCCGCGCGTTCATCGACATGATTTGTAATAAACGGCTCCACCAGTCGTGTCCTTTTGTCTGGAACAGCAACGGCCGTGCGTCCTGAAGACCAAGATAACCGCTCAACGATTACACAAATCCCGATAGTCTTTCGCTCAATCTCCATTCTCTTCTTGCATATCTCTGTTTGCTCGCTTTCCTCTTTGAATATTTACACTTCGTAGCATTGCATTGTTCAATTTAAAAAGTTTTCTGCATGATTTACCAGAAAAGCGCGGGATTATCCGGATTAGATAGACGCAGACTCTTCTTGCTAAAGTCTTCTAGGACAGGTTAACGTAGCCTAACGTCAATTAATCCCTCTCTTACCTCGCGCCATCAGCATCAGACGGTTAAGCGCAACTTTTTTGGCATGACAAGCCGAAAGTGGCCGGAGGTAATTCACCCCCCCCCCCCCCTCCCCGCTTCTGGATATAGTCCGTCGAAAAGAAGAAAAAGTCGGTCGCTGTTGCGCGGACGCTCTTTTGAATATACGGTACGGTTCATGTGATATATGTCGTGAATTCAGAATCAACTCGTTAGGGCCACCGCTGTCACGGACACCATGCACAGGACTCGCAGCACCTGAGGAGTTTGGCGGAAGGGCCGGTGAGGAGGTTCAATTGTTCAAAGGTACTGAATGCGTGCTGTGTGGTGGTGAAATTAAGGTATCCACCGCTGTGGTTTACTCTACTTGCCATGATCTATCTGGACAAAATGAGCCAGCTTAACGTAACGTGACTTCTAAAATACCCTCTCCTTGATTTTGCACCGTAATGCATGAGCTGGCTTAGCGTAGTTCTCGCCGGGCCTACAGCCGGAAGTAGTTTTCCACTTGGAAGTGCCTGTAGGCCGCCGAGGGAGAATAGAGGATTCGCATTGGCCCGCAGAAGAGTTATTTAACGTGACTGCATGGATTCCAGTGTTGTATTGAACGTAGCAGAAGTGGAAAAGACAGGACACTAAACCCGTGTGTCTCGCCGGCACCGCTCAGTATGCGTCAACTCAATGACAATCATTTACGTCAGATGACGTTACGTACTTTCCCTGGCGTTCTGTAGTTGCCGAACGTCCGTCGACCTTCTCGAAACGCTGATTCCGAAAATCACTGTTTGGGGTGGGATTTTGCGCAACTTCCGAGTTACAAGGCGCGTAACACCCCAGTTGGATATTGCGGGGTGTCTCGATTGCCTCCAAATTTGGTGTGCAGGGCCTTCTGAACAAGCTGATTCTGAAAATCACAGTCTTAGGGGTGGGATTTCGCGCAACTTCCGATTTACGCAACTTCCGAGTTCGAGACGCCCCGCAGTAATCCAACTGGGGTGTTACGCGCCGTATAACTCGGAAGTTACCACCGGAATCCAACCCCAAAGACAGGCGATTTTCGAATCAGCGTGTAAAGGAGTCCCTGTACACCAAATTTGGGGCAATCGAAACACCCTGCAAACGTCGATCTGGCGATGTTACGCGCCTTCTAACTCAGAATTACGCAAGATCCCACCCCAAAGACGGTGATTTTCGGAACCAGCGCGTCGGAAAGATCAATGCACAACAAATTTGAGGGCGATCGGTGACGGCCCCGGGAATATCTAACTGGCAACTGGACATCAATCTGCTGCTAGATTGACGGACGTGCTAGACTGACGAACGTAGTTACCGAACACACCTTGCCGTGAAGGCGCGTCGCGTTGTGTTGGGGGGGCGGGAGAGGCTGGGCCGTGCACGTCACTTTCGGCAGATACCGTGGGCGGTACTGTGGGAATCGCGGCGTTTCTTCTATCCAGGCTGAGTCTAAGGGGGATGTGTTACGTGAGTTTCAGGTGGCATCTGCATTAGGGTGTCCCGGAGATGGCAATATGATCATGTTTTCTGCTGCAGTGCGAGAAGTACAAGGTGACATAGTTACGACGATAGTAATAGCCTTATTCCTCAAAGAAAAACCCGGAGAATGTAGATATAGTTGGATTGATATTTCGGCAGGTATCAAAATCTGCTATCGAAACAATAGCAGAAGTAAAGTCTCACCTCTGCTACTGCTATGTGAATAATGTAGTGGATGTTATCATTTATTGTTTTTAGGATAGGTAAAGCAGTAATCAGATGTGAGCATTTTTATGAATATTTGTTATCCAAAGCTAATTTTAAGTTCTAAATTTATTCCAAGCATTTTGATAAATTAGTTCCGAGGAATTGAGCCTGCCTTGGGTTGGGCTTGTTACAATGGCCCCACCATGGAGTTGGGAAAGCATTGTTCAAGTACTGAACTTCATGGCAAAATGTTTATATTCTGCACGGATGGGCAATGTCTGTGCTCTCCAGCATTATCTGACTTTGAGTGGTGCTGTGTCTCACAGTAAGCCATCTCAGCCAGGAGAAATAGTGAGTGTCACAGTTAGTTGAATCCACCCATTCCACCATGGGTAAGCAGGGAAGGAGTGTGTGGTTTTAGTATTGAAGTTACATGTGTGGTCATCTCTATGCTCCTGATTGAAATATTTTGTTCATAAAAGTAGGCATTTTGCCTTCAAATATGTTTTTAATTGCCCTGTCTCAGTTACATAATTGATGCATTTTGAATGTGCTGTTGACAAAACTGGAACCAAGTGATGAAACCAAACTGCTGAAGGTAAACAAAAGTCAAATTTTGATATATATATAGATATATCTATATATATATATATATATAATATACATATTATACAATATATGTAACCATGTATCTTGTCAGTATGGTCAGCTTTTCACTTGGAACTTCACTACCAGCATTTAATGAAATAATTCACTTTTATTCACTTTCATCTGATTTTTTGCTAATGCATGTAGCACAATCATCTTCCTTCTGCAATTTGTTGAGTTTGGAAAATAGGGTGGCTTTTGCATAGTGGCAGGATGGTTGGCATACTGGAAATTTGTGTTATGATTTGTGTGATATATTTCCATCAAGTGAGTTTTGGTCATAACCATGAAAAAACATGCTAGGCTCATAAAGGTCTCACAAAGGTCATCAGGGAAAGTCATCATGGTGAGTTTTTGGTCATGACCATGAAAAACACACTAGATCTAGAAAACAAAGACAAAAACAACATACTAAGACATACAATGTGGCCTGCCTGGGGATGCCAAAAATGTGTTTGGATTGATTTGTCCTTGACATGTATCACTGCACAATTGAAAGCATGGACAACATGTTCTCAATGTTCCAGATGTTTCTGAAGAATGGAGCTGCATGCACAGTATGATGGACCTTCCCATACATTGATGAACAGGTGCCAGATGAGTCCTCACAGGTAATGTGGGTTCATAAGTGTTCTCTAGGCAATCAGTGGAGCCATGTATACATGCATTTGACCATCACATATAGAAGTTTGCTTGTACATATTTGTGTGTGAAATAGCAAGCAAGCACATCTGCTACCTGAACTGCCTGGGTCAAAGCCAGATAGGAAAAGCCAGCACCACTTTCAGGTTTCAGTTGCTAATGATGTTCAGCTTGGTCAGTTTGTCAGCACTGTCAGCATTGTGTCCTGAGAACAGACTTGTTTTCCCCTGCAGCTGCATTTTTACCTGTGTGGTTAGCTTTCCTGGTGCTCTCTCAGCCTGTGGTATATGTCTGAGCTGGCACCAGCTGCTGACAGTGACATGCGTGCCCTGGAGAGCCCTGCTTGCCACTCTCACGTTCATCACCGTGTGTGGCACAGCAGCGGGCGCTGCCGGTATGCCGGGCGCCGCAGCGGCTGCACAGCTGGTACTCTGAGTCGTCAGAGGACGCGGCCGTCGGTCGCGGCCCATTCGCCGACGAGATCAGCATCAACAACCTACTGGATGAGGCCGGCAGCTGGTCGGCCTGTGAAGAGGAGGAGGCTGGCCAGCCGGACTGGCCGGTCCCTTCGCAGCCCGACTCTGACCCGGTCTCCACCGTCAGCGACGCCGTGCCCGTCCACAACGGCCTTGGTCAGGTGCGCACTGCCCACCTGGGCACTGATGGACTGGTATTGCTGGTCAGGACGCTGCAGCTGTCCCAGTCACTGTTGTCCCAGGCACTGTTGTCCTAGGCCTTGCTGTCCCAGTCACTGCTTTCCCAGGCTCTGTTGTCATAGGCCTTGCTTTCCCAGTCACTGTTGTCCCAGTCACTGCTATCCCAGGCACTGTTGTCCTGGGTATTCCATCCCAGCTACTTGTCCTGGGCGCTGTTGTCCGTTTTCGTCCGGGCCACCAGTGTCCCGGACATCACTGTTCTGGCACTGCTGCCAGGGGAATTAAACGCCGCCGCGAATGCGTCGCGGGCGCCCGGTCACCAATTGGCAATCAGACAGTGTGTGTACCATGGGACGTGCAGAGTTCAACGTCCAATGCCGGTGTTCGCTGGTGGTGACGCGCTGCGGCAGACCGAACGGCTTATCAGACGTTTGGTCACTGATTGGCACCAGACGACGGCTGCCAGCGACTGTTGTCATGGCAACGCAGACCACGCCATCCGCCGTCTGGTCACTCCCGGGGCACCGATTTGAAACATGGCTTCTGGTCGGCGTTGGCCCCAGGGATTTCCGTGGCGGATGTTGGTACTAGTGGTAGTCGTTTGCTCTCGCTGCCATGCTCCTGCAGGTAACTACAGTGACTATTGTTGGTCGCTCCCACGCCCCTGGCGGCCGCAGCGATTGTTATCTGATCGCCACAGCCAACAGTGGCTGTTGCCCAGTCAGCACTGACCACAGTGAATGTTGTCTCGCAGGCGCCGGACAGCGGCTACAGCGACCAGAGCAGCGCCCAGACACAGGAGTGTGACACGCCATGCCACGGCCGGTCGGCGGCGCCGGCCGGCCGCCACACCAACGCGCCGTGCCGGGTGCGTACCCGACTGCGAGCCCGCTGGCCGGCGGCGCCGTCGAGACGCGACCGGCGCCGGAGCGCGAGCTGCCCAGTCTGCTGCACAGGGTCGTGCTGGCCGCCGTCTGGGCCGCCCAGCTACGGTCCGGAGACGTCCGCGTTACCACCAGCAGCGATGTGGTCATCGGCAAGCGGTCATCAAAGTGCAGCTGGCCGGGCACCGTCTGCCGCGCGCGCTTACCCGTCGCCGCCCCGACCCTCGACAAGGTCGGTCGGCGGCGCCGGCCCGGTGGGCCTGCACGGGCGGGACGGGCGCGCGGCGGGCCTGGTTGGTGGTGCGGTCGGAGGCTGGCGATGTTTGTGACGTGTGGTAGTTGGGATAATGCTAACCAAAGGCAAACGGGCCAAGCGTCATTCTTTGTAAATGAAGTTATTTGTATGATTCTTTGGAGCTTGATGAAATGTATTTTGTGGTGAAAAGCAAAAATGCATGGCGCCTGCTTGCTCTACTCTGCGCATTC